CGCACCTCAGCTCGGCGCTGAGCGATGCTGAACTGCGCCTGCTGAGCGCCATGACGTCCAGCGCTGGCCTCGCGGAGGTGCACATCGGCCTGGTGCACCGCCCGGAGCTGACGAGCCGCCCAGACGGCTGGCAGTACCGCTGGGCAGACGGCAGACCGATGAAATTCACCGCCTGGGCTAACGACGAGCCCAGCGGCGACCGCAACAACACAAAGTACGGCAGTCTCCGCGCCCAGGGCGCCAAGTGGGTGGTCAACGTCAATCGACACGTCGAAAACCGCTTCATCTGCAAATATTATCCGTGAGGCCGTATCGCGGAACGGTTGTAACGCTGGCCTATCTATTCAGCATTTCAAAGTAAGCTGGCCCTGGCGGTCGATGTAAGTTTCACTTGCAATCTCTGCGCATGGTATGCAATACAATTTTTATGCGAGCACATTCGGAAATATGCACGTATACCATGATACCGAGAGAAGCCGATCTCTCGAATCTTGTATCGAATCGGAATCGTTACTATCTATTATAGAATCGCTATATGTGCATCGTGCATTGTACATGTTAACTGTGAAATAACGCTTGGTAGGTAAAGGGGGTAAGATTGCTCGCTGTCATTGCACGTGAAACGATGAACCTCAGTTACACTAAGGACATGCACTCAACCTTTTATTATTTTTCGCAGCTTATGTGTCACCGCATATTGTTACCTGACGCCTTACTCCAACACAAATGAAATAAAATCGGTCTTTATCACTCTGTTGTTAATCTTTTCCAACAATTCAACTGGACTGGAAGACATGAATCGTGTTGCAAAATGAGACGGAAACCGTTTAATCTGTGTTTAAGATATAAATGTAAACTCTTCCCCCTAAAGCGGGGCATAATAAAGAATAATGAATGATGGGTAATTACGTTGAATATTAATTTATCCCATCTAGTTACCTATAGAAATCATCAAGAGAAAAAACATGCTGGAATAATTCGGTTAAGATCTTTGCGCCGTACGAGCGGCTCACCCTAGGATCTTAAAGATATTTGCATTCACCGGGCGCGTACGGGAAGTGAGCTTCTAAAGATAATATCTTTGAACGCAAGACCCCAGTGATGTCTGCGCTGATGAATGGAGCTGACGTCACTCTTCTGTCAGTCGGGATTGCTCCGTCTCGCGCTGATGACGTTTTTGTTGGCCTCGGTGCATGCCAGAAGAAGACAGCTGTACCTTCCGGAGCTGGAACCCGGCAGCTTGGCGACTGGATGCAGAAAGAAAGCCAACAAAAGCCGGCGAACATGGCACGTAACGGCGAACGGCCAGTTAGACAGCATGGGCTAAGTAAATAGACAGATGTTAGAGTAAATAACATAGGTGTGCATGAAATTCGTGCTTAGCAATTACCTATATCTGCCTGAAATATAAATAACAAAGACAAGCTCCTTATCCCATAGTTCCGAGCCGCTAGATGTTCGGCACGACGTACTGTAGTTCGCCGGACCTTGAGTGGTAGCTGTACCGCAGCACACCAACGCATTGCGGCACACCATCAACAGAGCCCAGCGAGTAGCGACTGCGCGCTATACCAACACGGCGCAATGCGACAGGCATGAAACAAAAGAGCCTGCCTGCTGTAGGCTGCCGTAGGCTACATCGCATATTGCTCCAAATCACAAAACCAATATTATTCTGATAAGATTTTCAGTTGCTCCTCCCGTCGAATTGCTATGCCAAGGCTGCCGCAGCCCGCAAGTGTCACTGCTGACGGCAGAGAAATAGAATCATTGTCAGACAGACAGTCAATCTGACAACAGACTTCTGTAGTTCTCAATTCCCTGTTTTGCGATGGCGCAGAAAGATATGTCTTATCTGACGTTCCCGGTCACACTAATTAGTGGAAACTACAAAAGCTCCGCTCATTCTGCTGTGAGACGCATAACCGTAGAGAATAGTGGGCAAGATGCCAGCCCGGACCTCTCGTTAGAATATAAATCAGCTTGATGAAGCCAGAATGACAAAGGAGCGCGATAACGTGAGGTAATTCATTTGGGGAATGTTTAAAGTGCATGTAGACGACTTTGGATATATTCTACAGAACGGTTACGTCCATAACAATGACGACAGTTATGAATATTCACACTCCACGTAAGGTGTGCGTGTTTGGTTCATTTGTTTTCATATATGGTGTAGTCCATAAGGTGTGCCTTAAAGGAAAAGGGCCACCTTCGTGAAATATGAAGATATCGTTGTTTTTCATTTTGACATTATTATTTTCATTTTCTTTTTAAAACTGGTGCCAGAAGTGCACAATTCGCGAAAAAGTATTTAAAACTATTTAACATATTGGTACTATGTTGATACTCTCTACGGGCACCTACCTACTGTATGATGGCATAGCGATGACGTCACACTCAAGCCAATCAGCGTTCAGAAGACAGACTCGTCGGATTGTGTCAGATAAGCTGATTGGTTAAAGCTGAGCTGGTTGGAGCTGATTGGTAAAAAACCAAAGCCTCGCCGCGGGTGGCTGTATTGTCGGATAGGAACGCATTCCTGGGATAAGGACGCATTCCTGGCGTATTTTCTTTTAAAATTGCCGATAACTACGAATGGAGGCCGAAATCGGCCGTAAGGAGGTAGACAGACTGGTTTTCGGACACGGGCTACAAGATGGCTATCTCAGTTTCAATAGGTGGCCCTTTTCCTTTAAAGGGACCCTCCCACCTTCAAAAAAGTTAATGAATTGGCATAAAAGTGATGTCCCTTGGTTCGGAAAGATCAAAAATGAATATCTACCAAATTTCACCGAAAAAATATTCACTGGTTTTCAAGATATTAGGCTTTTACTTTTGTTTACTTTTTAAGATCTCCGCTGTTCCTAGCGACTTATTTGGAAGCAATAATTTGGCAGCCTTGAAGTGCGGCAGGTTGCGCGCAAAGCAGTGTATACCTTCACGTGTTAACGATGGTTTTAGTCTAAGATTTAAAAATCGTTAGATCTCCGCTGACGTCACAAATTCTAAGGGGGCATTCTAATGCATTAGCCCCTTAGAATCCGAAAACTGCAAGTTTGAAATTCCATATCTCCGACTTAAGGCATTTTTCGATGTTGTGAGTGTCCAAACCGGTATTTGCAGGCCATGGCCACCAATTTGGATATCTCAACTCAAAACTAATGTTAACCCTCGCCCCGTTGGGGGGGGGGCCATTTTGACCCCCCCTGTGGTTTTTCCTAAATAGCAAGAAAACGGCGGCGCGCAGCGCCACCAAATTTTCAGTACCTTCCCGGGCATCAATTTGACACCTTCACACCAAATTTCAAGTCTTAGGTCACCTTAGGTCAGGAGTTATTGAGGTCAAACTGAGGTCATGTTCGAGCGAAAATGAGCAAAAAACATGCAATCTTTAAACGCTCACCAAATCTACAGTTATCAAGCAATTTCAAAGTTCTTTATATGGTCTAGTAGACAAAAAGCGGCGCTACAAAACTGCTATCTCGGATTTTCAAAATTTTGGGTTTTTGACCCCCAAAAATTCAAAAAAATGATTTTTTTAGAAAAACTTTTAAAAAATCCAAAATGTTTCCGAATTTCGAAAAAACCGGATATATGATAGTCCGTGCGCTCTTCTATATACATACCAAATTTCAGATCGATATCTCGTTTTTTGGCCAAGTTATAGCGAAAAAACTGTTCAAAATGATGACGTCAAATTTTTGAACTCAATGTTTAGCGATTCTAGACGACGTACGGCAAAACAAAGACCGCCATTGAACTCCCCGTGACGAGCTGCATCGATTCAATACCCATTTTATGCAAAAATATCAACTTTGAAATTTGACCTAATTTGACCTGACCTTGACCTGACCTTGACCAAAACGTGACCTAAGCTGGCCCCAAAGGCTGCCTGACCCACATAATCGCATTTGTCATGTAAAATGGACCATAAAACATGTATCACACGACACTTTCATATTGTGACCCCCCAGTGACCTGACCTCTGTGACCTGACCTGGTATCAGTGACCTCAAATAGCAAAATATGTGTTTGAAGAACATTTCCCCATCGATGATTTTCAATGAAATGCATTTGACTCGATTTTACAACGCATTTCTTGAAATGCCTGTAAACGGTGAAAATTGGACCTTTGACCTGACCTGTGACGTCATCGGTTTGACCTAGGTCAATAAAATTGGGTCACAGGTAGTTCCCTGATAGGGCTATCCAACACCGTTTGCCGCTTGTCGCTAGGTTGCGTGGTTCTCGAGATCTTAGGGGGGGGGGGCCAAAATGGCCCCCCCCCCCCAACGGGGCGCGTTGCTCGGCAGAGCCCAACGGGGCGCGGGTTAAGGTGGGATGGTCACTTTAAATTGACTGCTGAAACACATGTGTTATCTTCTGTCCCCGCTCCTGCGTCATTTACGGGGACGGCTGCAGCTGCTTGGCGCTCCATTCCAAGGCCAGCCCGTCTGGATACCTACCACCTGACGACCGGTGTCCCGGGGGCCGGACGGCCACATCAGTCGACGTCAATCAGGGCCGGGGACACGACTGTCGCCTATTAGTCTCACAGCTGCGCCCCTTTCCGCGTACCCGTGCCAAGGTCAGCAGGGAGCTGCCGCACCCCTCTGCATCACCGGCATCCTCCCCACGCCCTACAACCGACTGACTCTCTCTCTCTCTCTGTCTCCAACCTGAGGAAATATAAATAAATGTTATTACAAGACACATCATCAGTGAAAAAAAAATGGAATGTCTCAACTGTCAGCCGTAACAACACAGCTACTGCTTGCCTCACAATGTGATTCCTCAGTAAGCCCGCTGCGATCCCGCTGTGCCCCTGCTGTGCCCCTGCTGTGACCCCATGTGACCCTTAGTGTCCCGCTGTGACCCGGTGTGACCCGGAGGCCTGTGACCGGACAGGAGCGCTGGCAGGCGGCTCACCGGCGATCGCTGGCGCCGGTCACAGGGCCAGGAATAGGCGGTCGTCGGTCGGCGTGGCGCCCTGCCCCGTCGGACCGTCGGCCGAGCGAGCTGCCCCTGCCGACGGCGGGGCGCCGGGACCGACGAGACGCGAGAGACGTCGAACCGATGCAGTTGTCTGCTGTCGGCAGTGAGCGGCGCAGGCCGACAGGGGACGTGTCTCCGTGATATTCCCCGCTCGTGACGCACACAGAGTGAGGCTGCACGGTGCTGCGGGAGGTTCATTGCTCGAGAAAGGCTAAGAGGCTTTGTGAGATTTCAGTGAACATTGCGGAGTGGTGATCTGTGCCAGCGTCCGGACACGACAATACTTTATAGCTGAAGGTCACGGGTCGTTTCTGTTTATACCTCTCTCCGCTCTCGGTCCTTGGGTTTCGCACCGTGAGGTGAGCTCTCCCACACTTGTGGACTCCGGCGATCAGGCGCTGCCATGGTCGAGCTGCGCTCTCACAGTGTCGAACGGACTACCCTGGAGCCGCCGCCCGCCGGCGGTATGGTCTCCAGACAGAGTAGCACTGTCAGCCGCAGAAAGCGGGGCCGCCGCTCGCGCTCGGCACCCCGTCTCAGCGACTCCAACAAGCCCAAGAAGCACAACAAGTACCTGGACACAGCGAGCAGCTCGATCAGCGCGCTGCCGGGTCGGATACAGCTGACCATGCTCAACAGCGGACTCATCCCCATCGGTCAGTGAAACTCACGGGCCGACACGGCCTCCGGTCGGGTGTGCTGATGGGCGGGAGCGACTTACCATGATGGGAGTGGTCCCTATTCCCAGTTGCACAGCACATTCATTAGGAATTATTGGAAAGCAGTTGTTTCCATTTATCTACCCGTCAGATGGAATGATGGAATGCCTTTTATTGATAGCTGATAAAAGAAGAAACGATTAAAACGTTCTTGTGAATAAAGCAAATATTTTAACTAAAGAGAAGTGCATTTATATTGCTTAAGTATTATGAATGGAACAATAGCGAACTTATTTACGTAAAGTATGACATCTGGGGAAGTCAAGTCAGACAAAACTCTTTAACCCACTTTTCATAACGTTAGGTAAACGTCGTTAATCGAAATCAAAGTAGGCCAGAACAGTTTTTGAGTCAAACAACAATAACACGTTCTCGATCATTGCGACGACGGTGCAAATGCTATTTAAGGACATTTACCATCGACAAATGAACAAGTTAATGCTTACGTATTACTAGTAAAAACTGAACAAAATGGGACTTATGTATTGTAATATGTTTGCTTTGCGTATTTACTTTGCTTATCCCTCGCCGGCCCAGGGGGTTGATGCACACACCCCCCCCCCAAGGTTCTCGCAAATGCGCCGCCAAATTTGGCATACCCTCTGAGGCAGTGTTTTTGCACCTTCCCTGAAACTTTGGTCTCTGTCATTTAGGTTAGGTCACCAGGTCACCAAAACCGGTACAATGTCAGGGTAAAATTGGACTATAATAGCGGCAACGGAATCGCTGAGCCTATCGTTGATAGCGTACGACTAAGAACCGTACGACTTAGGGCCACCAAATTTCAGACATAACTGGGCAGCCATTTGACACGTGACGTGACATAAGAGTTTGGTGTTCCAGTGACCTCAGGTCAGGTCACAAGGTCACAAAAACCGGTACATGGTCAAAATGGCACTGAAAATACGCTATTTGTCAATGAAATCTAGAGTTGCTCATCGATTTGATTCAAACTGGCAGGATATGCTAAGCTCACCGAGTTGTATAACCTCCATCCAGGTTTTCAAAGTTTGGGTGACCTGAGGTCATCTAGAGGTCACGATAAATTATCAGAAAATTTGTCTGAATTGCTCCAATCGTAAAAATGTACTCCAATTCAACATTTTTGTGTTGTTTTAGCTCCGTTAAAGATGAATTCAGCGTTTGCTTGCTGAAAAAAAAAACACTTAGGCCAAGTCATCTGAGGTCAAATGAGGTGAAACTACGTCTTTGCTAATAACTTCGCACACAATGAGGCTTCAAAAGTGAGACCTTCAAAAATGGTGTCGTTGTGTTTCTTGTGATCAGCCGAATCGAATGATATGCCATATGGTGCAATTTGGTTAACTTGAACTTAATTAATTAACTTAAGATCACTTAAAAAAATTAGGAAAATTTTAAGATCCCTTAAACTTGTAGCAAAATATACCATTCGATGCGCACGGACGTGCTGAGTTCAGTGGTGCTTTTATTTTTTATATCTTAATTAGATAAAAAGTTTTAAGCGAAAACTTGTGAACCGTTTTAGCGAAATTTTTCCGTCGTACCAATCTACCCCTGGCCGTCCGTGTTATGGAATTAAGGCCCTGTCCTGGCGATGGTTAAAACTTTGCGGTAATAATCTCTCCAATGAAGACACATGTGACCCTGATAGCTCGTCAGTTGTTTGTATACCCTAATAAATGTCGCTATAAATTCATCTTCTAAGGTTATTTAAAACGGTCATCTGACAAACACGACAGGAATAAAGCTTCACGATTTACTACCTGACATAAATTAGACACTGAATGTCAGCAATTAGACGCGATCATACCCTCAATAGCATGCCGCTTTATTAGTCTATTATGTTAAATCATCAAGCTACCTTAGTGATAAAAACTCCGAATTTCGCTTGGATTTGCGAAGAGAAGTCCGAGATCTATAATTGCTTACAACCTACAGGCTTCTTACCACCTCATTGGTCACGTGCAGAATGGGGTGACCGTTTCCAGATGGCCTGTCCCTGCAGGTGGGCTCTCCGTCGAGATGGACTCAGCCTCAGCATCTTTCCGGTTCTGAAATAACTTTAGTATGTTGCTTTTCTTGGAAGAAAGACGGTGTTTTATTTACGTTCAAATGTGTCACTTTTATACATAGGTAATGATTAAAAAGAAAAGTAAAAGCCCAGCATGGTCTATGACTATGATACAATTGTCATGATTTAGAGCATTGAACCATGAAAATAATCAATTCACGGAGCATATTAAGTCATGTTTTTAAGGTTTGAATGCTGACAGCGAAGACACATATCGTTAATTTTACCGATGTTTTCTTCACAGCGGAAGAGGACAAAGCCATTCGTGCTATCCCGAGGAAACCGATAGAGAAAAACAACTTTATCAAGTACTGTGAGCAGCACAGAAAATATCCGATACTCTTCAAAGTCGAATTTCAGGTAAGAGTTGTGTTGCCATGCTAGAAGTTCTCACCCACCGGCGTTCCATTTACTCACGTTTATGACTGCGCCACTGCTGTCATTTGCCCTCCTTTCTACCCACGCACGGTCCTTTTACACACCTACAGACGTCCTTAAACTGTCAGCAGTCGCTCCAACAATGCTCGCCTGGCGCCGGAAGCGGCCGTTTCCGGCGGCTCTCGGTCCAATTAGTGGCGTCTGTGGCGCACCCCGGCAGTCGCCACTCGGAGCCAAACTACCCTGGCAGCGGGCCCGGGCCGGGCCGGCCACGGCTGGCCGCGTCCAGACATACAGTCACACCGAGAGCGCTGGCAACCAGTGCCGGAAAAAGGTACCGGTCCGGACGGGGATTTGTGGAAATGCATGAGCTCTGGAGTCTCGAAATGATCGATGCAATGCGGCCGTCGTATCCCGACAGTTCAATAAAGTTGCAGCCAGTAGTCGTGCGTGACAGTGTCGTTTTTGTGCCTGAGCCTAGGCACGCGCGTTTTTATATAACGTCTTGTTCAAACGACTTTTTTTCGTCCATTGTGCCTCAGATTTTACCCTCGAAGGCACTAACAGCCATAAAAAAATGTAATTGCATTTCGCCGTTTGAGTTGCGGCCCATCCTTATCTTTGGTCGACGATACTCCATAGGTAAGGCCCGATACCACCACCGACCACCAAGCTCCATAAGGGTTCGGAATGTGTGTGTATTTTTTTAAATAAAAAAACAGTAAATTTAAAACGAAAAGTGTTGTCCAGTTAGTAAGCATCCGTCAGCTACCCATTTCCTGTGTTCCAGACGCTGCCGGATACGGATTCTGCCTTGCAGTCTTGTTTCTGGGATCATATCAGAGCCCTTTTGACATTATCAAACGGGTAGTTAACATCCTCCACTGCGTACTAGCCTCAGCGTGTTTAATGTCGGCTGTCGTTCTCTGAAAGTGGTCTGCTATGGTTGGATTCACATCAGACAGACCGTCGTCCGATACCGCGCTCTGAAGCAGCTCATTTCGCTGGGATAACACGGGCGTCCTCAACTCTCTCTGGTCTCCTACAGATTTAGGTCAAATGTAGGCACATATCCGCCAGGTTGATAGCATCAAACAGCACACTGCGTGCTTTGATGACCTCACAAAGTATTACTCACATTATGAGAGACGGTTACCACCCAAGTCGCTTCCACACACTTTAGGCTTCACTGACTTACACGTTTCTCAGCCGCCTCGAGATCCTTAGGGTGCAATTTGAGTGCCACACCTGACCTATTGCTGACCACCCAGCAAGCATCTTAAGCCGTTCGACTCGAGTAGCACCTGACTCTGGCCCATCGCCTCCAGTCGTCTGGACATTTCCTGGATCGTCAGACGGCCAACTCCGACTAGCCGTGTCGCAGTGCCCAGTGCGCATGAGGTTAGTGTTTGCGCTGGAAGCGGCCCAGCCGCGGTGACGGCCGCTGGCCGCTGATCGGTGACCAGTGGCACCCGGCTGCCAGCAGAGTGTTGCAACACCGGGCGGCGAAACAGCGAAGGTGTGGCCCGCTCGGCGCCCCCGGTATTCAGGCCACCCGTGTGGATGGGGTGTCAGATCAGTGGATCAGGGGCTGTCGATGCCGCTCCGAGGCCGGCCTGCCGCCGCGACTGTCGATAAGTGTTTGGCTTCTGAAGCATGCGTTCGGCAGCTTGGCAGGCCATGCAACTTACCATGGCGTATGTGTTCGGAGCAGGGCAATCTATGCAAGTAGGAGAGGTCTCCACATTCCGCCCAGTCTATAAATACATAGCGTAACACCAGTCACCGCTGTCCGTCTGTCTATTTTCCTCTCGCCGGCGCGGCCGCAGCGTATACACACGCTCACTCTTGTTGGCAGCAGTGTGTGAGTCACGGCCGGTTCCGGTGCCCGGGGTGTCTCTCGGCACCTTTTCGGGACCGCAGCGCCGTGTTCGTCACGGACCAGTGACGTCAGCAGCAGCTGACTGGCCGAGCTGACGTCACAGGTTCAGTGTGGCCCGACCCTCAATATTTAGTGTTGTTGTCGATGGACGCCGTCTGCGGAGACGTATCGTCTATCCAGCCGGGTCGCGCTGCGGCTCACGGGAACTTTCGTCGCCAAGTGCGCTCGGTTGAGTGTTCAGTGTCCACAGTTCAGCGGCGAGTTCGGAATTGGTTACGTCAGGAGCGGTGTTCGCGTGCCGCGCATACCTCCGTTAGCGTCAAACACAGCGGTCTCAGTGGTTCGCTGTCTCGGACCACCGAGATTGGAATGGTCCGATGGAGAGTGAACGGCTCACATTACACACAGTGACGACGTCCGGCAATTAAACACAAACGCCCCCTTCCCCTCTCATTCACTCAACCGCTTGTCTCCATTCCTGTCTGCCCAGTGCCCATCTACCTATCCCTCTTTCTCAGTATCTTCCCTCACCCTCCCTCTCTCTCTCTCTCTCTCCTTCTCCCTCTCTTTCCCTTTATCTCTTTTTCTCTCTCTCTCTCTTCCTCTTCCTCCACCTCTCTTTCTCCCTCTCCTCTCTCTCTCTCTCTCTCTCTCTCTCTCTCTCTCTCTCTCTCTCTCTCTCTCTCTCTCTCTCTCTCTCTCTCTCTCTCTCTCTCTTTCTCTCTCCCCTGCTGACAAGGCAAACAGTCCACCTGTTGAGTTACCGCTCGCGGGGCTCGATGACAGGCCTGTCAGCAGCACGCTTACATCACAGATGACAAACACGAGACTGACGCCGAACTATCTATCGCTGGCACGCCGTGACTAAAAACCGTGCGTCTCATGTTCTTGGCTTAAATTATACCCGCTTTGCCAGGCAGTTGCGTAATACGAGACAACGCTTGTATACCACACAGATAGGCATGAGCTCACGGCTGAAGACCATTGAAGGTTCATTGAATTTGAAAACGCATCCTTATTAGCAAAGTAAATATGAAAATTTATCGGGTGCGTGGTTCGGTGTATGTCGGGTTTTCGTAATACACACACAGGGAATATAGGTTTTATCAGACATTGCCGTTTACTATGCTGGCTTTACTGATTAGAAACTAGCTTAAAACTTCAACTGAATCGGTTGCATCCTTTTTCAGCACGCGGGACGGGTGGAGGCACATCCCACAAGACATGGCATGAAGACGTGCAATGAGACCAAAAATCAGAATCATCGCATCGTTCCTTGTAAGTAATAGCATTTTTATCCACCCTCTCCATTAAGTATCATTGCTTCACATCAGCAGGAATGATGTAATTTTTGTTGATTTAGTATTATGTAAGTCCGAACCCCCCTCCAAATGTTTGAACAGCCAATATAATCGTCTGCCTCAATTTACTCGTTGAATTCGTTTCGTAGACTCATCCATTCAACTACGGCCGCCATGCAATTTTGAATATCAGTTTCAATTGAGCTGTGAGTATACTGACTCCCGAGTCACTCATGCTGTTCTGGTGCCACAGATGACTACAACCGAGTGGTGCTGGAGCCGCGGCGGGACCCTGACTCACCCGACTCCATCGAGTCCGACTACATCAACGCCTCCTACGTGGACGTGAGGGACCGGGGAGGCGCGGCTCGTCGGCTAAAATTGCTGGCAGCGCGCTGTTCATGGCATTGCATTGTAATAGGTGTATGTCAGCGATATTTTCATGCAGCTAGCTCACGAAGACGTTGTCGATCTGTCTGGTTCGGCTACCGTTCAATTTCCCGTTCCACGGTATGCAGTCCCCGCCCTTCGGCTGTTCCTTTTTCATGTGCTCCTCAGTTTGTCAGGGCTGTTTTTCATGTGCCTCCAATTCGTCCAACTATCCGTTTCTCAATGTGTGCCAGGATTGTTCATCTGTCCGTTTTTCTGTACAACTCCGACCAAGCCATTGTCTCTGTCAGCTGCTCCATTACTTCTTCTGTTCTCTCGGTCGTTGCTGTAGCTCGTTCGTCCGTTTGTCATCCGTCCCGTGATACCTTGATTAACGGTTCGTGATTCATGTATTGTGACTCGATTTGTCCGTTTTGGCGTCGGCAGAGTCTGCTGAAGCCGAACGCGTACATCGTGACCCAGGGACCGAACGAGCGCACAGTGCCCGACCTGTGGCGAATGGTCTGGAAGGAGCGGTCGCCCTGCATCGTCATGCTCACAAAAACGTTCGACTTCATAAAGGTAAGTCAGATAGGACAGGTGCGCTTACGGAATACGAGTGCCTTTTGCGATTGAGCGTGGAAGCGCGATTGGACTTGTACTTCTTGGCACTTGACATACTCTCGCTATTCGAAGGTGTTAACAGCCAAAAAGGTTGCAGTCTTATCTACTTTTTCGACCACTTTGTATGACACTTATAGGCTGGAGGCACCGTGACATTGGGATTGTTATGAGCATTCAGATTTCAGAACTTCACATTTAACGTTCACAACACCGACCATCTATCCATCTCTCGCTTACCAGCCAGAAGAAACGCTGTTTTACAGCAGGAATGCGCGCTTCGTTTGTTACTGTTCTAGGTAGGTACACAGCTAGGGTGTCTCGAAAAATAAAGTTGACATGCCTATAGCCCAAAACATTTGCAATCGAGTCTGCTGGTTTCGAAAATCGCAATTAAAAAATTATGAGCCATTGTCTTCAACAAGCGCAGTCGCGATTTCCAAAAGCTTGCACCTACTTTTCGGGCGTTGCAGTCTCCATTGGTTTTGCTTGGTGTTAGTGGCAGTAATAATACGGTGGTTTTCACGAAAGTCTCAGGCAGAGTTCGTGGGTGAAGAGTTTAAGCGTAGTTTCAGGTCAGTAGTTAATTGGCTTTATTTAGTGTAGACGTTGTCGATACACTTTTTAAAGTCACGCCTGTAATGCGACCTTCGCTTCAGCGCAGCTAAACTCTGGGCAAACCACGGCCGGCACCAGCCCATAATCTCAGTCGGAACTCGGACCAGACACGCTAGCGCCACAGACGCCTAGTCGACACTCGAGCCCCTCGAGCCCGACCGCGGCAGCAGCACAGTGATAACTTTCGTCTGCTCTAACCATAATCATAGTACCCAAGCCACAATTGTGAGCTGTCTCGTGTCCAGAGCCTACTTGCCACTTGCCGAGGACGAGAACGACGCCCGCTGCCGCCTGGAGGCTTGGTGAGTTTCACCTCGAGGGGCTGCGGCCGCGCCAGTGTTGATTGAACTCTCGTGATGGTGTCGACTGTCGATGTATGCATTGGTGGTGAAGTTACTCATTCATTCTCAGGCCATGGCAAAGCCCGGTCCAAGTACCCGTAACCAGACCGTGGTCCCGGTCCTGAATGTCCACCCAGCAGAGCTTCCTCCATCTCCAATGGTCTCTTACACTGGCGGATCTGCAGGGAGAGGGCATTTAGGGCTATGCCCCCTCAAAGGCCTAAAGTGGCCTGTTTGCCCCCCCCCCCCCCAACGATAATGAAACATAGTTCAATCAGTGCGTGGCCCAGGAGCCGAGTTAAACAGGGGGTGTTTTACCACCTCCCGGCCCGCAAAGGTTGCGCCAAGCATCGACCCGGAGCGGGTTAACTGGTCGACAAAAGCAATGTGAAGTGTTTATACAAAGTGATATAAAGGCATGGGTCGGGTGGGTTACCATTTCTATATTTTTTCTTTCTAATTAAAAAAAAAATGTTCATCGTGTCAGGGCTGTGACGAAAAATAACTGGCCTAAATCCGATGAGAAAATAGGATTTGGGGTTACGCTAGGTTTGGCTCCTAGGTACATGAGTTGCCCCCTCCCCCCCAAAAAATGCAAATCTGGATCCGCTAGTCTTCCTCGCACGCAGCTTCCGTGGAGAAGCGATGTTCTCCGATGATTCCTGAAGCAGAGGAATGCTGCTAGCGCAGAAGAGTGTCGCAGAAGCGTGTCGGCCATGACGGCCGATATCATTGTCAGCCGTGCGAAGTCAAGGCTCGACCTCCCACTTATCCGGACAAAAAAATTGGAATGGAGTGCGCTCAAGAGCAAGACAGAAACGTAGAAAACGCCGTATATCATGTGTGTTGGCATTCTTACTGCATTTTACCTCGTCAGCGACATGGATATTAGCTTTTAGCATAACCTACTGTCAGCAGGATGATTATCACTCAGGTAGCAATTTTTGGATATGTTGCGCTAGGAAAGTGTTTTAGTAAATGTTTATGCAACAAATGTATTGATTCGTTGAAAGATCGCAAGCTGAAGCGAGAACGCATTTACACGGTTTACGTGAGAATAACACCGAAGAAAGCCTATGGAGACTGCAACGCCTGAAATTGTCAGGAAAGGGTTACAATAGACGAGGTGCGCTGGTTCTTAACATTAAATGAAAATTTTTTAATCATCATTTCATGTCATAATAAGGCTAGATGCAAGTGGTTTTTGCTATAGGAAGTGAATTAATTTTTTTGACCCCACTTTCGAGACACCCTAGTACACACCATTTTTCCGGAGCAGTTAAGCAGTCATCACCACGTGTTAATGGCGCATCTGTTAATGACTTGGGAGGAAGACCAGCTGTGTTTGCTGACACCGTGTGGACAGATGGTCTTTCTGGAGGCAATTATCACCAGCGATTAACAACACCTGGGCAAATAGCACCACATGTAAACAGCTAAAATATATCGCCGTGATAACGATCAACTGTTGACGCCAAATAGGTTTATCCATGGTATTGATGAGAGTCAACAGGCATGTTACGGTCATTTATGTCCCACGTCATTATTATTATAAGACAGATAATGAACGTTAGGTTGGTAAGAAATCTAATTTCAATGTGAGTGAAATCAACCTTGCAGGTTTTATCGGCATGCTTCAAACAACTCTTTCCAAGTGCTGGACCATCATAAATGTGTTGTGCTTAAATTGCCTACTGTTTCCATACCATCATCATATAGTTGCGGCGGAATGTAAACCCAGGAGGTACAGCATGCTGAAGGTCTTTGATACACATACCTAACCATAACATTGTATGCAGTAGTGCCACTTGACTTTCCTCACAACCGATGTAAAATATTGTAATTATCTTCAGGAAACTGCCCTCCTATCGAATACTTCGAATATTTACCGGTCTCGCCAGTCATGGCTGCTTGACCTACTTGCAGTAATCTTGCCTCCGCAGTCTAGTATAAACTCAATCTTCTTTGGCACGTTTCTGACCCGGCCTTTGAGATAGCGGAGACGCACACTCACTTAGGCCCGGACCGAGCTGCACTCCGGGCGTCTGACGCTCTCTCTCTCCCTCTCCCCCTCTCTCTCTCCCTCTCTCTCCCTCTCCCCCTACCTCCCTCCCTCCCTCTCTCTCTCTCGCTCTCGCTCTCGTTCTCGCTCTCTCTCTCTCTCTCTCTCTCTCTCTCTCTCTCTCTCTCTCTCTCTCTCTCTCTCTCTCTCTCTCTCTCTCTCTCTCTTCATCATTCATCACTCTGGCCTGGCCTGGCACATCCTTTTGACCTTCGGAAAACGGCCATAACACACAGACACTAGCGAAAACAACACATGTTTGTCGCGTAATATTGCGTTAGCCCAGCAGCCACTTGGCAAAAATGTGTGCTCAAATGCTATTAGCCGAAATGGGCATGCCGTTTGCGGTGCGACTTTATATTGCGAAATTCGGTTAGTAGAGCAAACTGGAAAACTGGTCAGTGACATGTCCTGTCGCCGGCCCGGGGATGCGCGTCCAGTGTACACTGCACTACCTGTCCCGCACAATTGATGTAGCGACCAGTACTAATGATTGTGATAGTTTCACACAATCTGTCGCTGTCTCTCAGGTGATGTGCGTCCAGTACTGGCCGGTGCAGCTCGACAAGGAGGAATCCTACGGAGGAATGCACGTCACCGTCCTCAAGGAGGAGCAGCTGGCCAACTTTGTCATCCGCAGCATCCGTCTGCGCCACGGCAACGAGGTGAACGACGGAGGCCTATTTCAGGGGTCTTTTAGCGGAGCTCCCGCTCCCGCAGCCTATGCATCACAATTCACACATCATTCAGCTACTGCCAGAATTGCTTTAAAATATTGAGTCATTCATTTTTTTTTTCTTATTGGCATTACGGTTGGAGCGGGTGACATCAAAGGTTTCGCGAGTTTAGATAATACCTAAGTCTTTCCGCCAATATAAATCCAAAAGCCCGCGAGCAAATTTTATTTTAGTATCACCTTGTGGATTGCTTGAATCTTGGGAGTTCCATGACCGAGCTGGCGTTGTTTGTCGGCACACAGCGTTGGGGAAAAGATCGTCCCGAGTGCCGAGCCTCCCACCGGCGCGGCGTTTCCTCTGCACCTCTGTGCTGTTTTGTTATCCAACTGCCACCGGGTGTGATGCATAGTGTGGCCGACTGCTCAGATTCCAGGGCCACTCAGGGAGCCGACGCCAACAGTCGGGAGCATCTGTCAAAGCAAACAATGGCTGGATGGAGGGGAGAGAGGGAGAGGCAGAGGAGAGAGCGAGAGGAAAGAGGGAGAGACAGGTGTTTGTCAGAGCACCAACTCCCACGGAGAGCGCAGCTCTTCAGACCGGCAAAAATAGCCACGTAAACATTTAGACCAAAATAGACAAGGATGTGAGCTTAAATAAACAGCAATCCGCAAACAACTTTGGATGAAAGCATGTGATTAGGTGGTGGGGAATATAGCGGACGTTGAAAACAACAAATAAAAGGAGATACTCGATTTGGTACGCTTGGCGAAACTAAAAAACGAACGTAATTTCGTTTCAACTGAGTTAAGACCGTCGACCGAAAACAAGAATTGCAACTCACCGAAGCAAAGATGCTTCCCAGCGTCAAGAGAACTTTGTTATGCAGATCATTTCGAGGCCAACTGGTAATTTGGCTATGGATAGCTCACAAGCAGCATCGGTAAAAGTCTATCCGTTTGCTATTACATGTTGAATAACCAATGTCCAACCAGTTCTGCAGGGGAAGTTTCAGTTTTATTTTTAGCGTAACCTCAGTCTAAAGAAGACTATTCAAAGTGCATTTTTGTGAAAGCTGAAATAAATTGTTTGTGTCTATTGTTGCAGGAGCGGTCGATTCTTCAGTTCCATTACACCGAATGGCCGTGCCACTCGTGTCCATTCTCGAACGCGATCCTCGAGTTCCGGAGACGAATGCGCATCTGCCTGAGTAACCGCGTTCCGGACCTGGACGGACCCATCATCGTCCACTGCAGGTCAGTGAACTTCTTTCCCACTTTCCCAGGGCGCGGACTGGCGGTCGCCGACCTGCTGTCTGGCACTTGGGGAGACAACATATTTGTATTGTGGTGGCCGGGTGGCAATCAATATCAATGGGTACTGACGCTGCCAAGGTTCTGTTATCAGAGCAATGGCTGGAGCTGTTAGTGAGGCAAATACAAATATGTATCTGTATGACTTAATTCCAGGGGAATGATGATAATCAAACGAGCCTTACCAACACCGTTCCCTGTATACGCACGCACAAACACACTTTTATGTATCATTAACCCTCGCCCGCACATGCCATTTTCCCATCCTAGAACGCACATGGGGGGGGGGGGGTGGTTGCCACCCCCCCCCGCGCCATTTCGTTCCTGTTGGAGATAGAGCTTAGCGGTAAAGACCAAAAAGATTCTTTGGGAAGAGACGAATCCAATGATACCCAGTTTTACCTTCTCAGGTCAGTCATTGACCTTCCAGGTCAGGTCAAACTAAAAAATGTTGCTGTTTTGGGTCACCGTTGGATATCAAGTGCGCTGCTTATCAAATACCGATGACGATGCTGTTTTCTGGTGCCAGGCCAGCTAGAACCTCTTTGTCACACTACCCGACCAGAATTTTGCGGCTGAGGTCATTTCAGGTCAAGTTAGGTCAAGGTCAATTATATGTGTTTGTATGTGTGTGTGTCTGTGTGTATACTGATGTGTGTACCGATTGTTTTTGGGTCCATATTACATGAAATCATGCTCTGAGAAGCTTTTACCAAAAATGCAGTCAAAAAAATCAAAAAAATAAATTCAGCTTGCCTAAAACGCAATTATCTTAGATGACCTAGGTTGACCTTGACCCTGACCTTGACCCCTGTACATCGTCGAACAACATGTTCCATGATAGGTGGGAGGTAATACTGGCAAAAAAGGCCGAAATCAGGGTGTCAAAAGCTCGCAAGGCCCATGGCAAACGCAAGATGTTGAGAATTGGCCATTTGGGTCATGACATGACCTGAAAAACAAGGTCATATCTCCAAAACCAAAAATCACAGAAACTTGAAATTTTCAGTGGACATCAAGAAAGGATAGCGGAGCAGCTATACGAAAAATCAGCCTTCTAGCGCTAAAAATGTTGAGTGCAGAGCAGAAAGACTACCTGGGGGGGGGGGGGTGGCAACATGTGCGGGCGAGGGTTAATATCCACCGTGTGGATGCGGCCTTTAGTTTGCTCTAGCAACATCAATAACAACCTACAGCGTCGTAAAGTCACCGGCGATGTTGTGTAAACACATCGGGTGCGGCTTCCGCTGGTGGCGGGCGCTGGGTGGCCAAACGACTGAACTCACCGGCCTTGGTGCCGTCTGCCCGCCGTGTTATTAAAGGGACCCTCCCACCTTAACATTAGTTTTGAGTTGAGATAGCCAAGTTTGCGGCCAGGCTCAGAAACCACCATTTATCCTGGTCGCAACCCCCGCAGCTTTATGGTGTTCAAGAAATGTCTTCCCTTTACTTGCAGGGTGGGACCAGCGTGGTCCCTATCTCTTAACCATTACGGGAATCTGATGACGTCATCAGGCTTTCGAACGTCCGTTAAATGTTTGACTAAAACGTTTTGTAGCACGCGGTGGTATATGCTGCTTTGCGCGCAACAAATGCCGCACTTTCAAATAAAGTCGCTAGGAACAGCGGAGATCCCAAAAAGTAAACAAAAGTAAAAGTATAATATCTTGAAAACCGGTGAATATTTTTCGATGAAATTTGGTAGATATTCGTTTTTGCTCTTTCTGAACCGAGCGACATCACTTTCATGCCAATTCATTAACTTTTTTGAAGGTGGGAGGGTCCCTTTAATGGAACGACTAGAGCCGCTCCCTGATTAGAACGCATTTGTCAGAGTGGAGCGTGATTCATCCAAACATCGGTGACGACAGTTATATAAATGTGTTTATATTTTTGTTGCAATATTTATAGATCTTCGCTTTTGATTAACGCATGCTTATGACGACGACGGTTCAGTCTTATTTTCTACAGGTGCCAGAACACGAAGAGTTTACAGACAACTGTAGACGGTTCTACTTCTAACATATTATTCTAGAGATCCGAAACCTTTAAAGGGACCCTCCCACCTTCAAAAAAGTTAATGAATTGGCATAAAAGTGATGTAGCGTGAATCACAAAGAGCGAAAATGAACATCTACCAAATTTTACCGGAAAATATTCACCCGTTTTCGAGATATAAGACTTTTATTTTTGTTTACTTTTTGGGAAATCCGCTGTTTCTATGACGTCACATAAAGGTTTTCTTTACGTCGGCATTTGGAAGCAATAGTTCGGTATCAAAGTGCGACAAATATTGCGCGAATGATGCGTTTATCTTATCAAGGTCAATATATGATGGCCAATAAAGGATTCCAGGACAATTCTTATGGCATTTCTTCGTATCGCAATTCTTCGTCTGCAAATCTTCGTCAGGGCATTTATTCGTACCTATCGCATTACTTTGTCTCGCACCAGGGTATATGAAAATCGGCTCGCATTTCTTCTTCAACGCAAATATATGCAAGAGTAAGCATTGAGGGACAAATAAATGCACCGACGAAGATTTGTAGACGAAGAAATGCGGACGAAAAATTGTGCTACGAAGAAATGTCATGCGAGGATTCGTTCGGGTACCATAACATTTATGTGATTTCAAAGTCAAGGTTCACAGCTGATCTGCTAAATCAAGCCAAGAATCCAAACTATCAAAAAACTATAAATATTTGTTTGTCTGTCACAGAGGTCTCAAGCAATATAAGGTTGACATATGTTGAATCAAAAATCTACTGCCACAACTCACATCTCCTGCCTTAGTTTATCATTGTTGTTTTAACTTGCTTTCAAGAGAAACAGAAGCCAGTATCTGATATCACTTCAGATGATTGTTTCAAGATCTGAGTTCAAATGGAAATAAAAGCAAGATCAAGATGAAACAGGGATTATTGCTGTTAAAGTAGTTTGGCCATGATACAACAAGCACATAAATCATTAGCCAAATCAAATACTGGTTGGTTTGTCAAGATGTTTGTTGTCTGTCGTCTGTCGAGCTGCTATGAACACTGAACGCTCTCACTCTTACTTTAAAGAGAGTAGTTTAAGTTGAATGGTAGTGAGCTGTAATTAGACAAAGCAGCTATTCAGTGCTCACATCAAGCCAGGCTAGGAAATGGCATCAACTGTGGTGGGAGGAAGCAGGTTCGGCAGCCCTATGTTGTAAACTTCTGTTATGTCTTGTGTTTGATCAACTCATGTTTTCTGCTCTGTTTTGTGCAGTGATAGTAGCAGGTAACTGCATGCTTGTCAAATTATGTGAATAAACGAATTCATAACATTGCATTTTTCTCTCCATGCAAGGAACAAGTAAGATGTTGTAGAAAATATAATAGAGGGCTGCATTGCTGATTTTGCACTTTATCAGAGCTTTATTTAGAATTGCTTTCCTGAAAGCTACACACAGGCCACAGTGCTGAAATTCACAATGTCATAGCTTTTGGCAGAAAAAAGAAAAGACTTACCTAGGTAAAATTGGCTGAAAGTATGGCAGAGCAGGTCTTGATGCGTATGCCCATCCGTGTGCTTGCCGAAGCCGAACTGACTGCAACACATTTAACTCTGACCCACCATGGTGGCTGGCATATCCTGAACTTTCACCACTCTAAACAAGACAACTTTCAGCCCTCAGCATTGTATTAAAACACTGCACAAAACACTCAAAATTTGTTTCAGTGCCATCCACGGACAACATCAGTCGCCATTCACCAGGCCAGTAAAAACAGAATAGATAATAGCTTCAAACCCATGTAGTCAGAGTTACTAGGTCTGCACCTCAAAACAAAATCCAGGTGACATTCACCACGCCAGTAAAAAACAGGTACTTAGGTAACGTAACAGCTTCAAATCTGGTAACATGTTGGTCGGACTTTACACTACCATATTTACATGGAATAATATGATACCAAACAATAGTGCAACCATTCTGGACAACAAAATTGTATGATAAAATTAATTTAGAATACTCTGGCAGCATGATTTACGAGCACAGGCAGGTGTTACCTACCAGCCTTCTCAATGCTCGTAAAACCAACATTGTAGTTTTGATTTTACCTTACATGATAACACACTTGGCTGCAATGGCACATTTAATTTAATACTGTGAAAAGTCCAGTTATAACCACTTCACAAGCACAATTGCACCTCATGCCGACATCCTTTTCCAAAGACAGTCAGCAGCGTCTTTCGTCAAAACTGGAAGATCAATCCCCTTTCAACTGTTAACATCAAAAATATTTCTTCATGGTGTGATCTCCTATGGAAACCTTGCGGGAAAAGAATTAATGTCAATTGTCAGCTCTTCAAATTTCTTTGGACTTTAACTTGCAGTACCATATCCAGTTTGCTTTGATATTTTGTTTTTTATTCCATGTTGAAGTTGAACACCAAGCTCCAGATATAGCAGGCAGCTTGATCATCTTCGGCCTTGGTATAATATCAGTCCAAGTTCCAGTGGTGGGTATCTTCTAATATTCAAATTAAAATGAAAAGCAATAGGCTTTCTCATCGCCGACGACGGATTTCACGTTGATAAGAAAGGGAGCTCAAGGTCAGCAAAACTCGGGTTCAAGGAATGGCGGGCGTTGAAATGACTGCTGACGTCATCAAAAAACCGCTAATGGTTAAGAGATAGGGACTAAGCTGGTCCCACCCTGCAAGTAAAGGGAAGAAATTTCTTGAACACCATAAAGCTGCGGGGGTTGCGACCAGGATAAATGGTGGTTTCTGAGCCTGGCCGCAAACTTGGCTATCTCAACTCAAAACTAATGTTAAAGGGACCCTCCCACCTTCAAAAAAGTTAATGAATTGGCATAAAAGTGATGTAGCGTGAATCACAAAGAGCGAAAATGAACATCTACCAAATTTTACCGGAAAATATTCAACCGTTTTCGAGATATAAGACTTTTATTTTTGTTTACTTTTTGGGAACTACGCTGTTTCTATGACGTCACATAAAGGTTTTATTTACGTCGGCATTTGGAAGCAATAATTTGGTATCAAAGTGCGACAAATATTGCGCGAATGATGCGTTTATCTTATCAAGGTCAATATATGATGGCCAACAAAGGATTCCAGGACAATTCTTCTTATGGCATTTTTTCGTATCGCAATTCTTCGTCTGCAAATCTTCGTCAGGGCATTTATTCGTATCGCATTACTTTGTCTCGCATCAGGGTATATGAAAATCGGCTCGCATTTCTTCTTCAACGCAAATATATGCAAGAGTAAGCATTGATGGACAAATAAATGCACCGACGAAGATTTGTAGACGAAGAAATGCGGACGAAGAAATGTCATGCGAGGACTCGTTCGTGTACCATGACATTTATGTGATTTCAAAGTCAAGGTTCACAGCTGATCTGCTAAATCAAGCCAAGAATCCAAACTATCAAAAAACTATAAATATTTGTTTGTCTGTCACAGAGGTCTCAAGCAATATAAGGTTGACATATGTTGAATCAAAAATCTACTGCCACAACTCACATCTCCTGCCTTAGTTTATCATTGTTGTTTTAACTTGCTTTCAAGAGAAACAGAAGCCAGTATCTGATATCACTTCACATGATTGTTTCAAGATCTGAGTTCAAATGGAATTAAAAGCAAGATCAAGATGAAACAGGGATTATTGCTGTTAAAGTAGTTTGGCCATGATACAACAGGCACATAAATCATTAGCCAAATCAAATACTGGTTGGTTTGTCAAGATGTTTGTTGTCTGTCGTCTGTCGAGCTGCTATGAACACTGAACGCTCTCACTCTTACTTTAAAGAGAGTAGTTTAAGTTGAATGGTAGTGAGCTGTAATTAGACAAAGCAGCTATTCAGTGCTCACATCAAGCCAGGCTAGGAAATGGCATCAACTGTGGTGGGAGGAAGCAGGTTCGGCAGGCCTATGTTGTAAACTTCTGTTTTGTCTTGTGTTTGATCAACTGATGTTTTCTGCTCTGTTTTGTGCAGTGATAGTAGCAGGTAACTGCATGCTTGTCAAATTATGTGAATAAACGAATTCATAACATTGCATTTTTCTCTCCATGCAAGGAACAAGTAAGATGTTGTAGAAAATGTAATAGAGGGCTGCATTGCTGATTTCATGCACTTTATCAGAGCTTTATTTAGAATTGCTTTCCTGAAAGCTACACACATGACACAGGCCACAGCACTGAAATTCACAATGTCATAGCTTTTGGCAGAAAAAAAGAAGACTTGCCTAGGTAAAATTGGCTGAAAGTATGGCAGAGCAGGTCTTGATGCGTATGCCCAATGCCCATCCGTGTGCTTGCCGAAGCCGAACTGACTGCAACACATTAACTCTGACCCACCATGGTGGCTGGCATATCCTGAACTTTCACCACTCTAAACAAGACAACTTTCAGTCCTCAGCATTGTATTAAAACACTGTACATGGCAGTTGACACTCAAAATTTGTTTCAGTGCCATCCACGGACAACATCAGTCGCCATTCACCAGGCCAGTAAAAACAGAATAGATAATAGCTTCAAACCCATGTAGTCAGAGTTACTAGGTCTGCACCTCAAAACAAAATCCAGGTGACATTCACCACGCCAGTAAAAAAACAGGTAGGTACTTAGGTAACGTAACAGCTTCAAATCTGGTAACATGTTGGTCGGACTTAACACTACCATATGTACATGGAATAATATGATACCAAACAATAGTGCAACCATTCTGGACAACAAAAGTGTATGATAAAATTAATTTAGAATACTTTGTCAGCATGATTTACGAGCACAGGCAGGTGTTACCTACCAGCCTTCTCAATGCTCGTAAAACCAACATTGTAGTTTTGATTTTACCTTACATGATAACACACTTGGCTGCAATGGCACATTTAATTTAACACTGTGAAAAGACCAGTTATAACCACATCACAAGCACAATTGCACCTCATGCCGACATCCTTTTCCAAAGACAGTCAGCAGCGTCTTTCGTCAAAACTGGAAGATCAATCCCCTTTCAACTGTTAACATCAAAAATATTTCGTCATGGTGTGATCTCCTATGGAAACCTTGCGGGAAAAGAATTAATGTCAATTGTCAGCTCTTCAAATTTCTTTGGACTTAAACTTGCAGTACCATATCCAGTTTGCTTTGATATTTTGTTTTTCATTCCATGTTGAAGTTGAACACCAAGCTCCAGATATAGCAGGCAGCTTGATCATCTTCGGCCTTGGTATAATATCAGTCCAAGTTCCAGTGGTGGGTATCTTCTAATATTCAAATTAAAATGAAAAGCAATAGGCTTTCTCAGCGCCGACGACGGATTTCACGTTGATAAAAAAGGGAGCTCAAGGTCAGCAAAACTCGGGTTCAAGGAATGGCGGGCGTTGAAATGACTGCTGACGTCATCAACAAACCGCTAATGGTTAAAGGGACCCTCCCACCTTAACATTAGTTTTGAGTTGAGATAGCCAAGTTTGCGGCCAGGCTCAGAAACCACCATTTATCCTGGTCGCAACCCCCGCAGCTTTATGGTGTTCAAGAAATTTCTTCCCTTTACTTGCAGGGTGGGACCAGCGTGGTCCCTATCTCTTAACCATTACGGGAATCTGATGACGTCATCAGGCTTTCAAACGTCCGTTAAATGTTTGACTAAAACGTTTTGTAGCACGCGGTGGAATATGCTGCTTTGCGCGCAACAAATGCCGCACTTTCAAATAAAGTCGCTAGGAACAGCGGAGATCCCAAAAAGTAAACAAAAGTAAAAGTCTAATATCTTGAAAACCGGTGAATATTTTTCGATGAAATTTGGTAGATATTCGTTTTTGCTCTTTCTGAACCGAGCGACATCACTTTCATGCCAACTCATTAACTTTTTTGAAGGTGGGAGGGTCCCTTTAAAGATAGGGACTAAGCTGGTCCCACCCTGCAAGTAAAGGGAAGAAATTTCTTGAACACCATAAAGCTGCGGGGGTTGCGACCAGGATAAATGGTGGTTTCTGAGCCTGGCCGCAAACTTGGCTATCTCAACTCAAAACTAATGTTAAGGTGGGATGGTCCCTTTAATGACCTACAGTCTTCTGATCGTCGCTCCCTCCCGCCTCCCCCCAGTGACGGCGCCGGCCGGTCGGGCGTCTTCCTGGCCATCGACGCCAACATCGAGCTGGCAGAGGAGGACGGCGTGTTCGATGTCTACGGCTACCTGAAGAAGATCCGCCAGGCGCGCCGCGGACTGATCGAGACCGTGGTGAGTGGATCACAGATGGCAAAAGAATAGCTCTAAACAGGTAGAATCATGCTGAAAAAGGACTTAAGGACTAGGAGTAAATGTAGGCATGTAAATCACGCCTGCATTTCGAAATTCACAGTCATAAGCGAAAATATAGATAAGTGTTTATTGAGTCATTTTCTTTGTAAAGAACTGTAATCTTTCAAGTCAATATCGTGAAAAGATAGTAAAAATGTGTTTGCACAAGAAGATGGCATTGTCTCCTGTCGGCCGTTGACATCGGGCCAATCTCCCCGACATCTCAGTCACATTCCAACCAGCACGCGTTGGCTCTGAGGCCGTCAGTGACGCAGCAAGCAGTGACGCAATGTGCGTGCGCGCGCTACTGACCGCTCACGGTCGCGCGGCGGGCCGGCGGGCCGTTTGGAGCCGTGCCACGGACCCTTCAGCGGAGCTGCCAGCCGCTGATGGAGCCGGCGGCGCCGCGGCACGATCATAGCCGCCGCTGACCTTTGTTTACCGGCCCGCCGTGGTGGCCCGCAGAGAGGGGAAAAGCCTGCCAAATTTGCAGCCGGTGGCACAGACCGGGACAAGCAAGGGATGTTGACGGTATGGTCACATTGTTGGGCCCGCTGCATAACATAAATGCCGAAGATAATTCGGTTTGTTTCTGCCAGGAAAGTCAAGTCGAGTCCATTCTGACAGGAGTGTAGAACGGAGGCCACATTCCAAAGCAACACTTCACAAAAGCCACCACAGCGAGCATGGGTGGCTTCTGGCCACTGATCAAAAATGCCTGTAAGTTATGTTGTCCCGCAAGACACCGCTGCGCCCGGCGCAGTATCCTATTCCTGGCTTACCCCATCGGGATACTGGCTGACTGAGCGTACGGTACGAAACTGCCGCTTCCAGCATTCATAAAATGTGACGACCGCTTTGGCTATCCGTGAAAAGTATCTCACCAAAACATACCCACTCAGTGACAGCAAACTTGCGTGTCCTACAAGCCTCACGACAAGTGCAAGTTCCGGAATAGTTTCATGTTCAATCAGGACAGTAGAACGGACCCCCAACGATCAGTACAAGTTAGTGTCCCTCAATGTTTCAGGACTAGTACGAGTCCGTGTCCCTCCATGTTTTATCACCAGCACAGGTGTGTGTTCCTCCATGTTTCAGGACCTGCATGCAGTACAGGTTTGTGTCCCTCCATGTTTCAGGACCAGTACAAGTCCGGGTCCCTGTTTGTTCCAGGATCAGTACAAGTCTATATCCCTGTTTGTTTCAGGACCAGTACATACAAGTCTATATCCCTGTTTGTTTCAGGACCAGTACAAGTTTGTGTACGACACGCTGGAGGAGTACGTCAGCTGCGGCTACTCGGCGTTCCCCGTCTCGGAGCTGTCCCAGCGGCTCAAAGAGAAGGCCGTGCGAGTCACCGGCGGAGACAAACTCAACGACTACCAGCGCGAGTTCCTGCAGATCTGCCGACAGGTGCCCAAGTTCACCATCGGCGACTGCGCCGGCGGCCACCGCGCCGACAACCGGCACAAGAACAGGGACGTCATGATCGTGCCGCGTGAGTAGATGGAGACACGGGGCGACAGCAGCGAGCTGATTCACGGCGCGACGACGGCTGAGAGGGGGGGGGGGGGGGGAGTGAACTGTGAATGAGGATGAGTGGTGATGAATGATGCAAGGTACTCAAAATATTTTGCATCGGTATTATTTGTTTTTGATATAGAGAAGTGACCATACATATTACCTACTTTATCCGACCTCTTGCTCATTTGAACGCATTTTATGTCACACGTTCGAGCTGCTCAAGTTCGAGCATAGATGAATGAACGAATGAGACGAGGTGGGCGTAAAATAATCGCCCAATCGTTTTTATATATCACTTTGCCGTTCAATCGTTATTTGATTTTCTCCCCCACCTACCCTGTGACATCACCGTTTCCTTGCCCGCAGCGGACAATTTCCGGCCTTACCTGACCTCGTTCCAAGGGAACGCCGCCACCGACTACATCAACGCTGTGTTTGTCGACGTGAGTATAAACCTGGGCTTGAACCCGAGTGTAAACCTGAGTATAAATCTGATCCTGCTGCCGCCGGCGCGGCGTGCTGATAAACGAACTGGTAGTGCGAATCGCTGTCCGGTTTCGCGGTATTTGAGACGGCTCTGGGCTCAGTAGTCAGTGGGGACTGGTGCTGAGTGTGTGGGCGGGCCTGTGAATGGTCTGTGTGGCCTCAGCTGCGTCTGGAATGTGTTTGTGTTTGGGTCGATCGTAATAGCATCAGCGCCAATTAATCGCGGGATGTTTTGCATCACGGCCGATTTGCTGCAATGACTTTCGACATCAGATAGCTCGCAGGCACTGTTGGATGGGCATGTGCACCAATAAAGTAATAATGTAATCTCTGTGAACTGATAAGACTTTGGTATCATTTTTCACTCAACATCACAACTGTAGAATACCTAACTCACAGCATGCTCCTTATGAAATCTCTCAACATAAAAACATGTAATGCAGTTTATCGAAATATCTTACAACAACTTCGGGTCGGACACCATCGTCACAGCCGTTACGTCGTTGCTTGTCAGTTGCATATGTGCTTTATACAACGGACACACCTGTACACTTGCATGTGATAAGATCATTTCAGCGCTGGGTGAGCCGGATGGAGTCTGATGCAGCTGCGAGTGTATACCTTCCCATTTAAATACTAAGGCATGGCTCTTCAGTCTTCGTGCACATTTTCGGGAAATTCGTGCGCATGCAGCGGGAAAGGCACTGAGTGGCCACGTCGTGCTGATTTATGTAGTTTGTAGAAATAAATCTCCAACTTAGTTAATAAGATAAATGCTAGACAAATTAGTTTGTTTTGTTGCATGTGCCATGTGTTATAACATGCCAAACATGAATCTGTGACTGAATTGTGTCTAATGGTGTACCTACTATGTGCAATATTTTGTTATGTGATCGAACAGCTTTTACATCAGCTCACTTCGGAAATCGCTTAGTACCGTTATAATCACAGAGCCCATTTAGCTGTGTTATGTTAGTAGCAGCGTCCATTCTGTGTATACTTTTGGGCTAAGTCACCCCTGTATTAGTGGAGTGACCCCCGCCGGGTGCCGCGGCTCCCCGCCTGGCCGGTGACGCCTCCCCTGACGCCTGAGGCCGCTCCACAGGGCTACAACCGCTCCAAGGAGTACATAGTCACCGAGTGGCCTCTGCGCGCCACCCCCAGCGACTTCTGGAGCCTAGTCTACGACTTCGGCTGCAACTCGATAGTGGTGCTGACCAACCCGGGCGACACGGCGGTGAGCGGTGGTGGTGACGGCGCGCGCGCGGCTGTTGCAGGGCTACTCTCACCCGCGCGAGTACATAGTGACCGAGTGGGTGCTGCCGCCGTCGGTGGCCGACCTGTGGTCGCTCGTGTACGACTACGACTGCGCTGCCGTGGTGGTGCTCTGTAACCCAGACGCCTCGCCGGTCAGTGCAGGGGTGCCCGCCCCGTCCCCGCCCCAGTCGCCCCCGTCAGCCCGCTGTTCGGCGTCTGTGGAGCTCAGTAGACCGTGAAGAACGGAACAGAGTGTGATAGTGGCTTTTAGCTGACCCGCTTGGATAGATATGATAGTGCGCGGGCGCCTGGGGTGAGTTCCGGGGTGTTCTAGGTGGCGCTTTTCACGAGTGATCCGGGCGTCACTCGCTATAAGTCTTATTTGAAGTGGTCTGGTTTGAATAACCTCAACAAACTCATTGGAATTCCTCAAATTCCTTCATCTCGTCGTTCATTTAAGCTTCATTCACAATGGAAATCATCAGCTACCTACAGGGTGGCAGAACTTTGTAATTTCTAATTTCCGAATTCCCGGTCGTGAAATTCTGCCTCTGTGAACATGTGTTGCCGACATCCGACTGACGCTGCGGGCGTGTTGCAGAACTTCCCTCCGTTCTGGCCAGAGACGACACGCTCGCGCCGGTACGGCACAGTGTTCACGGTGGAGCACATCTCCCACCAGCACTACCAGAACATCAAGTCCTGGATCTTCCGCATCAACAAAAAGGTAACGACGGCGATGGAGTCCTCGAGATGTTCTGCGAATTGTCTCCAGGTAACGCCGTGCCATTTTTTTTTCTGGCGAATATTTAGAGACATCTTTCGTCTCTTGATCTTCAAACTGACCCAGCCAACATTCTCCAACATCCCAAGAGCGTCTCTCTGACCCAAACACCATTCTCTGACCTCTCTGACCGTCTCTCTAACTCCCCACCCTCCTTTGTCCCCAGATCGTCTCTCTGACGGAGCTGATGGCCGGCGTCAAGGCTGAGTCCAAGACGTGCCAGCTGTTCCAGCTGACCTGCTGGCCGGCCGGCTACAAGGTGCCCACCTCCACCAACGCGCTCGTCGAGCTCATGAACATGGTGGAGCGGTGGCGGCAGCGCTCCGGATATGGGCCCGTCGTCGTCGTGTCGCCGTGAGTGTGTGGAGAGTGTTTGGTCGCCCCCTCCCCCCTCCCGAGATATAAGAGTCAAACTGCTGGAAAATGAGTGTGTATTGGCAGACTAACTCTGCCAATACACAATGTTTCGGACGTCACAGATATGCAGACTAACTCTGCATATGTGTGTATTGGCAGACTAATAGTTAAGTGGTTATTGCCTGCTCTACGGGCAGTGTCCGACACATTTTCATTTGTCATGGACGCATAAAAACTACACCATTTTGTATACTGAACTAACACCTTCTTTACTCTGGGAAAAAATAAAATGTTGGATTAACCCTCGCCCATGGTTGGTGCAACCCCCCCCCCCCGAGGTTTTCTTAGCTACACGCCGAACCGTTTCAGATAGCCTGCTCAAATTTTCAGTACCTTATGGGGCATCCTTTGCGCAACTTTTGGTATTTTATTTTTGTCAAGGTCATGTCAGGTCACGGAGTTATGATGTCATAAAGGGAACAACCTCCGGCCAGATTTACGCTAAATTGGAGATTGCTTCACATTGGTATAAATGCCGACTGACCTGACACACTGGTGGATTGTTTTAGAATCACAACTGGCTGATTTGACATTGGCACAATGTCCGTTGACCTTTTGAAGGTTACTAAAGGTCAAGGTAAGGTCAGTGACCTCGGTTGACCTGTAATGACTTCTTGCACTTGTATGCCTTTTCGGGGTATTTTGATGCCCTGAATTCGAATTTGCTATCCATTTCAGGCATCGTCGGTTGTTTATTGTAGATCATTTTGGGTCAGGGTCAGGTCAGTGACGTCATACGCCTGACGTGACCCAATGCACAAATGACCTTGCAGACTTCCGATGCTCCCAACGCATCATTTTTAGAGTTATGACATCGAAATACACACCAAACAATAGAGAATTGATCAAGGATCACGATAGTGAAGGTTTCAAGTCGATATCTCTTACCGTTTTGCCGCAATAGGCGCGGAAATCTGAAAAAGTTAGATTTTTTTTCTCGAAAATTTGACCTTTGACCGGTCATAAGTAGGTCAAATGTTGACCTAGGACCAAAAAGTATACCACCAATCGCGAGATCTCGTTGAGAGCAATCCGTTGGTCTTTTCCGCTAAGCTCTACGACGCTCCATTTTCAAACGCCAGGGGGGGTCGCACCAACCCCCCCTGCATGGGCGAAGGTGGCAAAAAACCGTTTACGGGCGAGGGTTAATCTTGGATAGAAGCGGCTTGACATGCTATGGAGTGGTAGGCAATGAGTATAATCTTTAAGAGACGTATTTCCATGAAAGGAATGCTGCCTGGCAGCTTAATGGCTCGCCTCTGCCAGGGTCGAAAGGCGACGCTTCTGCCATTCCACATCGTTTATGAGCCGACGCCGGCGACATTTAGAGCATATCGCAACGGCTTTAGTTGTCACAACTTAACGGCCCTAAACAGTGACAGCCTTTGCACGCTCCACTGATACTCGACGGTCTGTGAAACCGTGCGAAGCTTATAGCCTTACCACGAAAGGCACCGTTTAGTGTTTATGAGGAGTCGATGTCTCGTTATTATATAATGCAGTAAAAGTCGTTATGTGGTTGTTTTCACAACGGCGATATCCGTTGCTACACTTTGTTTTGCTACCGTGTAGTTTCATAGTCACTATGCCTATAACTTTCATGCGTAATTATTCAGGACTATTATCCAGTCAAACTATTGATCCCGTAGTCATGAAGATCCACTAACCCACTAACCTAGCCCACTAGGGCACTTCATCCACTCCGCGTCCAAAAATGAAGCGTTCAATGTCGCAAACTGCTTATAAATATTCAATGGAACATGATTTCAACAATTGGTTTGTTTTCCCTCAGAAACAGCCAGTGACCTGTTACAGCTCTTTTTCGGCCCCCACTGACGCGTTGCCCTCCCCCTGGTAGTGACGGTCAGTGCCGGGCGGGCGTGTACTGCGCGGCCAACGCGTGCATCGAGCAGGTGATCCAGCACGGCGAGGTGGACGTGTTCCAGGCAGTCAAGACGGTCCGCCGACACCGGCCGCAGCTCATCTCAAACATGGTCAGTGAGAGTGTGGCCTAGAACCTAAAAGCGCCGTTCATTGCCATCTCACAGAAGCCAGTACCTAATAAGTGCCGGCCTACCGGTAAGCTGCATTGAAATGTGAGTTATACAACACTTTGAATTGAGTACCTATGCCAGCGTTCATTTGCTCGATCGGCTATTTTCAAAGGGCAGAAAACTTGCTCAGAAACCTCCAAACTCGGGCACACGCTACATGCCGCTCAGCACTCGGGTGCATGCACTTGTTTTGTAAGACGTCCGCTAGATGGCAGACATGTTGGCGCCTGCAGTTATACTGTTCCGCACGACATGCGAACTGTGCGGCACAGTATCCTCGCTCGCACCGGGCGATATCCTCACGATTTGTTAGGAGTCTGCCGATACAGGTTGTAAACAATTGATGAATTAAGAACTATAATTAAAATGTAATCATTGTGCTTTTCTATGGCTTTCATTGTAACATTCAATGAGTAGTCCTTGGGCAAATGCACCGCCTTACAAATATGATGCGCTTATGACGTCGTTGTTCACATTACTGCTCACTCTCGTTACTATAATTAAAATGTAATCATTTTGCTTTTCTATGGCTTTCATTGTAACATTCAATGAGTACTTGGGCAAATGCACCGCCTTACAAATATGATGCGCTTATGACGTCGTTGTTCACATTACTGCTCACTCTCGTTATCACTTATCTGATGATAATACTTTGTTATTGACAGATGGAGTACAAGTACTGCTACGACCTGGTTCTGCACTATGTGCTGCACTATCTGAACAAGGATACATCCACACATTAGTTGGTGACGTCATCAGGAGTTGGTCAAAACACCACGTGACGTCACAGACTCATCATGTCATCCAGAACACCCGTTGATGTCTGGTGGATAAATGGAGTTTTAGTTTGTAAAACACAACAAATTTACTGTTGTTAGAATTAGAGGATGTAATAATTCATCTCATTTTACTGACGCGGACTACCTAATTCATCATCATGACGGGTAGTTTTCACACTCATAGAATACGGCATTAATTAAGAAGAAACATTGGCTAGTTGAGCCGCTGCGTAGTTATGGCGCCGTTTTACCCCTGTAGTTTGGCCTAATCGTTAGAACGCGCAGTCCCATGATGGTCAATTTGGAGACCACCCATTATATTCGATAAGGAGAACGTTGCTTTTAAGGTAATGCACATACCAAGAGCGCTATTTGAGCCTCTGACATTTGGTGCGCGCTTGTGACCCCAATGTGATGCAGCTATTGTTGACTGCGTGGTGAAGCATTTTAAAAGCTACTGCAGCTGAAGTGTTAGCCAGTGTTGGTCATGTTTATTGTTCCAGGTGAGCTTATATGACATTAATTGTGCGGTTATGTATCAAGCACATGCCTACATTATTTGTATATACATGATCTGTATGTAGAACATAGCACTGATGATACGAGGCATTTTATATATTGTATTAGACTTAAGAAACCACTTACGCGTTAAGTTCCGCACTTAATCTACCCACCTAATGTTTTTGGTAGTTGGACATACGTAACACGTATTTTCACGTTCTTGCAAACAGCTTGGCCGACGAGAACGATACTTCGAGTCTACATACGGCGAATTTTGTGTCTCGTAAGCTTGTCAAGTTTTATACGGTGTTTGAGCATGTGTTCCACCTTCCAATGCAACTTATCGACAGCAAGCGCAATGTACGGTATAATACCGAGCCGGTGAGAGTGAGCGCGTTTTCTCCGTTTGAAAGGCGTGTTCCTGGTTGTGAAATGTTTTACTGCATGCTATGGTTCCGTCATCCGTGCACCTGCGGTGGGAGTCTGTGTTCACTGGCACGACCGATGAACACAGACTGTCGGGCCCGTTCTAGGCTTATACGGGATATTGTTGCGAAGGTCATGCATGTAGTTTACCCTCAGCGATATTGCACGAAGTGACTGACAACACCGCGTTAGTTATTCAAGGATATCGAAAATAAATATATCATAAAAATGTCCATCGTTTGTAATCCAAGCAGTACAGAAACCCCAATTATGCACCACCTCACTTGAATAATTTTGTCTTGCGGAAGGAAAGCTACGACAGTTATGACATTGGCTGACAAGTTTACAATGTCCTATAGGTTATTAATGCTTATTACTAAACGTGAGAAAGTACACGCAGTGTCTTAGTAATTCACCAAAATATTGCACGACGGGTATGCAATGCTTTGAGAAAAAATAGCAACCCTGCATTGGCGACTGCATTATTCTTGCTTGCGTTTTTAGCTGGATGCCACGTTAGCAAATTCACAAAAAATTGATTGCTGGAAACTTTCCTCAGCGAACAAAGAGCACATATTGATTAAACAAGTCAGTGAGATCACAGAAAATAATTTAAATGTGCAATGTATATCGTACAATATGTACATACCTCATAAGTCTAAACTTCATCACTTTTACAAACATTGACGGAATGATTGCTTACGAATTATCACACGAATCCCGGAGGACAAAAGTTCAATATCACCATTGGCAAGATCAGCCTTCCACCTGTATCGGCAGCACTATCCCGCGCTCAGCGCTTCCTGCCGTGCACGTGACCCAAGCTGGTGTATACGTGCACGTGTGAGAAGGAGCCGTGAGAGTGAACCAAGTGTCTGGGGACCTGCGGAGGAGGCGTCACCTCCGGGGCCAGCGGGCCAGCCGGGCCGGCCGGCGGTACAGAGTTGGACGGTGGTGAACTGGTGGATACAGATCCACTTGGGCTGGTTGACGGCGAGGCGCTGTTCTGCTGGACGGGTGACGGCGTGGTAGTGGTAGTCCCAGCAGATGTGACAGATGATGATGGAAGTTGGAGCTGACGTTGGTGATGAGGCAGCTGAAGTTGGAGTCGCAGACGAGGAGGAGGCAGATGTGGAGGTTACCTCTGTCGAAATGTAGTTGGAACTATAGTCGTAACTATAGTCATAACTATAGTCATAACTATAGTCGTAACTGTAGTCGTAACTGTACTCGTCGTAGGCAGAGCCGTCGCGTTCGGAGTAGTCATCGCTATAGTCGTAGTAATTGTAGTCGTAGCTGTAATCGTCGACGTTGACAGTATCTTGGTTTATATAGATGAAGCCATTGCAGGTATAGAGCAGCGCTGAAAGGTAAATTAGACAGGCTCAGCAAGGCGCCATTTGAATGGGAATCACTTCTGGAAAACGATGATAGTCGGAGTCCTGATTAGTCAGAGGTAATTGCAATACTATCGACTATACCATCGCAATACGCAAGGTGCGTGCTTACCTGTAAGTAAAAGCGCATTCGAACGAAACCTCATCGTAGAAGTCTCATGAGGACGATCTCGCTGAAATCAAATTACTGGCCTTCTCTGTCCTCTCTTTGGCTCACATTGGAGTACGATCAGATGCACCGTTTAGGTCACTAGTTTGATCCTTTAAATTCACTTCGACACCGCTTAATCGCAAACAATCATTCACCTCTCTTCAAAACCTCTTTTCATATTCAGACTTTATGATCTTCTTTCAAAACTCAATCGTTGAAAAGAAGGGAGGTGTCATTTCTGGGAAATATAACCCATCGCTGCCGACTGTATGACCAAAGCTCCATTCGCCGACTGTATGACCACCGAACCACTCGTTCCGTTCGCCGTCTCGTCCCTGGACAATGCCTGGAAGCCCACTGTGTGCCACGGAGCAAACCTAGCGATGACCTTTCGAATCAGTTGGACAACAAGCCGCTGCCAGTGCCATAGCGAGGCACGGGCCAAACCGAACTGACCACCGCTATTGGACGTCAGAATTAGCTGCGTGGTTGGCGAACAAGGATACAGTCCTACGGGCGTGGGAACGTGTCGGGGGCCGGCGCCACTAGCTCGCACCGAGGTATGACATGACGCACGACGTTGACGCTCTGGTATCTATCCATAGGGCGCTTTACTTCGCTTGTAGTGTTTTATAGCGGCTTGTTGTTTGTTTCCTTCAAACGTGTCCCTCGACCATGTCCGGGAGTTTTAAATACGAGTATTAGAGCGCACAAGCCAGCGGCAGCGATGCTAGTTTACAACAGTTCGTTTTATTTCGGCCTTCGCTCATTTCGATAAACGTTCTGCTCCTTTCGGGAGCCTTGCGCCAAGAAATAAATACTTAGGGATTCAGCGACTCTTAAGATACAATGAAAATCACAGGTCATGTTCGCTCAACCCTAACTATGACGTGTTCTACTTGAAAAAATCAAAGAATGACGCCACAATTCATACATACCTAAGTAGCTAGACTTAAAGCAAATACCAGCTTGAACGTCGCACCTCAATGGGTGCGGTAATCGGCTGGTGTGGCCTGAGGCTGTTGCGTTTTGGCCGCACTTTTGCACCAACCGATACTGTAATCGCAGCTTCTACTCGACATCAGATGCTGAATATAACTAAATCACTTACGCGTACAGTTAGCCACGATCGAGGGAGGGCACGCTTTCACCCAGCTACCAGTGCATAATAAGACCTGTTGCTTATTAAACGAATGAAATGTCATATAAGCGATCTGTGTGGTAGGTATGCAACGGCCACTTGCCGCTCTAATGGCTTCCAGCATTAGGCACTGTTAATAATGCATATCAAGCACCAACTACTTTCGCACGCGACAAGGACACCCGTTAAGGACAGTCTGATGAATAGCTGAGTGACCTGTGGGAGCCACGACGCTCACTGATGGATGGTAAAACAGACGCTGTGGTCGGAGGTCACGTGGCAGACATGTGCACCACTAACATCCGAACGGTCTCGACGGTCGTCCGCACCACACAGTCATTTGACGTAAAAACTGCAAAATAGCTTTACACTCCAGTGAAAATTGGTCTGACTTCCCTCAGCCAACTTAGTTCACGTCAAGTTTGGTGTGGGCCCGGTGCAAATGATCAGATGTCCGTGTCGATGCCGAGGGTAGCCGCAGAAAATAGACATAAAGCCGATTTTTTCCAGTCGATGAGTACTTACTTAAATGTTACATTTTTCTTCGCCCATTGCACTTCGCCAAGAAACTTGTTCATTTGTCGGTACAACGACACTTCATCAGCCAGGCCAATCGAAAACTGAACAAATCACTTTCGGCGAATTTCCGTTGTTTGGTAACGGCTCAAGCCAGTTTGTTTCACCCAATGTTAGATAGAAGTAGCTATTGCATTGCACCGTTTCCTTCGGATTTATAAACCATGGACAACGATATGTACGACATTTTATTCAAAAGCACACGCATACCAACTCACAATCGGGTACGACACCACGAATACAGAGGCAGTGTACCAAAGGCTGTGCTTTTCAGTTGCTACCGACCCAGAGTGAGAAGGGACGGTAGAACAGGCAGAAAATCCGGGCAGAGTCAGGGCTAACTGCACAGGCGACACTCGCACACAATAAAACAAGCTGTGACCACACACGTAATCTCAACACATGGCAACGCAAGAAAATAAACAGTTAACGCATTTGTACAAATAATTCCGTAGAAGCTCAGATGGTGACATATGTAAGAACGCATACATTTTTTCATGTTACAAAGCTTTGGCAACGCATGGGTATGTCCCCTGATGGCAATGATAAACAAATACAACAGATTCTAGCAGAAGGTACCTGAACTAGCGAGACATGCAGCCACTTAGCATAGTACTGTACTGGCTTAATAACGACCGTTCAGTATAAAAAGCTCCTTTAAATAAACGCATTTACAATATAAACTCGAACGGAGATCTCAGGAAACCAATGCCAACGAAGCAGAACACAAAGCTGCAAAACAGGACTCAGACTAGCAGATCACCTGACAGTACGCGATACGCATTTCTCCAAGATTCCATACACACACGGCCCCGAGTTTAAGCTCTACTGTCTCTCCTACCTCTGTCTCTACCGCCGGGGTTGTCTCTACCGCCGGCAGTCGGCGGTATCCGAGAAGATCGCTCGCTCTCTCGGCGCTATGTTCCAGCGACAGTGGGTCCGACAGGCAGCGCCCAGACCAAGGTTCATTGTACTGACACTGTGTGACCACTGTCTGGTAGATCGCGAACTCACGTAAGACAGAGTTCCACGCCATTTGCCGACAGTCCGACCACTTGATATTCGAGCTCTCACTCACGAGCTGTGCTCAATGTTCAGTCTCTGGACTGTGTTCAGTTTGCGAGGCACGAATCTGTCGCTCTTCCCATCTCCCAGACTCCTTGGGAAAGTTGAGGCACGTAAGCGGCACCAGGTCGTCTCCGTGTTCTCTTGACACAGAAAGGTACCTCCATCTACTCCAAAGGTACCTCTTCCTCCATCCCCGATCTCACCGTTCCATCTCTCCGCCGTGTTATCCTCTCGACTCATGCCGTCACCTGGCGTCCCCCTCCGGCTGACCGTGTACTCTGAACCGGTACAGACACGTGTACTCGGGGTGTCCCCAGTTGGAGGTGACCCTCAGCTCTACAGCGCTTACCGGCCGGTCGGTGGGGGCCGCCGCGAACCGCTGCAGGGGCGGCCCGGCCGCCGAGTACTCGAAACTGGCCAGCAATGTGGCCGGACCACCGTCATCGGCCACAGCCTGAAACAGACAAGGGAAGTGTCAGGGAAAATTATCATGGGAGAGAAGGCGTCAGGGAGACTGTCGGGAAAGATAACCAGAGCCAGAGAAGACCACCTAAAGTACCGTCTTAACTATTTCATTTCATTTCATTTCATTTATTCTTTTATCACCAACGGGCGTTACCCCAATGACAGATGAAGTCAACAAATAAAACATTGATACACACTAAACAAGCACAGTAAAAACGAGCACAGTAAAAACAAAGCAGACTAGAAACATTTGTTTCCAGTAACAACCGAACAGTTACACCTACCTATCTGTGTCTCTCACTCACATACCGTTTCACTCTTGACCTGAACTCTGCCATGCTACTCTCCCAGACGTCCACATCCCTGTTCGCCTCCAAGAATGCGTTGCACACATTCGGTATGCGGTTGAATGAACATGAGCGAACAGTGTTTACCCTTGCAAACGAGACAGCGAACAGTGACTGTGTACGCAGTGTCCGGGGCGGCACGTGTATGGGAAACTTTTCCAGAAGAAATGACGAACATATTTTGCTTCGATGAATGTTTCGGAGAAACATAATGTCGTGCTGCTCGTGTCGGGCAGCTAGGGTGTTCACCTTAAAGTGTTCAGTGAGGTCACGGTAAACAAACGACACCCCGCGTACATGGGAGCGGGCACAGAGCCAAACCAGAAACTTCTCCTGCACACGTTCAATCCGCTGCATGTGTGTCCGCGCCGCTCCACTCCACACTACACTGCAGTACTCCAGTATTGAGCGGACGTTGGCGTAGTACGTTGATAAAATGGCTCTGTGTTAGAGAACTAGAGAAGAACGGTGCCCCAACAAGACAGAGAAGCAGGTTTATAACCATGATCAATGATGAAGTGTTCATTGCCTTTACATGGACCGGATAACGCCTTACTAGAACGGCACACGTTCTCACAGAGAGCGGCACATGTTCTCACCAGGACGGAGCAGTGTCGGGGCGCCGAGTCGATTCGTCCACCGGGCGTCAGGCCGCGGGCGATGTGCTCGATCACAAACTCGGTGGGTCGGACCGGCCGGGACAGGCCGATCACGAACTGACCCTCGCCGTGAAAGGCGAAGCACTCGCCCGGCCGGCCGTACGGCTGGAGGTAGAGGGGAGGTCAGGTCAGGGGTGACGCGAGGGGATACCGGCTGGAGCTCACATTTACGATCATTAATGGGAGTATACTGAACGGGAACAGAAATACGACAAACTCATTTCGAAACCACGGAGCATGCCTAGTACTAGCAGCGAATGCCAATGAATAATTCATTCTTAAAAATTATTGGGAACGCCTCTGCTATCCGTCACCAATATCACATTCTTACAAGTTATTGGGGAAGCCTCTGCAGCTATCTGTCACCAATGCAGTGTATGCTACCTAATTACCAGGCTTACCTGTATGATGGAGCGCGGGTTATTGGACTCTCACCTGTATGATGGAGCGGGGATTATTGGACGGGTACCACAGCGGCACCCCCAGCACAGTCAGCCGCGCCGTGCGGGCCGTGTACGCCTCGGTACACTTTGTGCTCAGCACACTGCCGCCCGCAGACTCCAGCGCAAAGTCGAACTGGCCCGTCTTATCGGCGTCGTAGAGGGCTAACTCGTGCTGAGCGATGGCGAGCGCCTCCTCCCGGCTGATACCGCCGCCCCCGCCGCCTGAGCCGCCGGCAGCGGCAGCGGCCGCCGCTCCCGTCAGAGACGGAAGGTCCGCCGTCAGATCTGCCAGAGATGACGGGAGGCGATGTCAGCAATAGAGGGACTGAGAACTGAAGGTGATGTCTGATTTTCCAGTCACCGAAGCAATTTTTCACGGAACCGTCACTCTAAATTATCAACTATCGACGGACCAACAACAGTAAACAAAAAAGTCAAGGCTTCAAAATTGAAGGAGAAAATGCGCAAGCACAGATTAATATTTTTCACATTTTGTGGACCAGCTACCGTTGTCAGAAAATACAATAGTACAGATGCATAGCTGGCTAATTCCGGCCCCCGCCGAAGTTAGTTGGTAGCACTGCTGCTCCACGGCGTACATTTCCTACCAGCCCATAGGGTTTACATGTTAAATGGCCTGTTTTCGGCGAGCGATATCTCGGTCAACCTTTGAAGGAATCAATGGTTCTTAGTCTCAAATGATAGATCGATGAATTTTCTTTCGACAATTCCTCTACCATTTTTCACGAAACCCAGCCGATCTTCTACGGCGTACAGGGTAAAGATTTCTCTGCACGCCAGCACCCGCGATCCGCCTCTCCGATCGTCGGCGCGCGGTCCTCGGTAGCACAGTCGGTAGCGTATCGGGCTACGGATCCGAGGGTCGTGAGTTCGAATCCTGGGAGCGCCGTGTGATTTCGGCTAGAATTGAATGATGTAGATTGTAGAATCTTAAATGTTTGCGTAATCAATTATGAATAGCTAATTGAATGTATCTGCGCACTAATCGGCCCCTAAAACCTCTTATTTAAGAAATTTAAGAAATGAATGTCACGTGCGCGTCACGACTGCCAACCATAAGCGCAACCATATTCTAGTTTGAACTAACTTTTTGCTAGTCCCGACCACATATAGTAGGTTTTCTAGTAGTTATACTAGAAATTCCTACCAAAGTTCGTCCTACCCTTCACTCAATATACCCTGGGCTAATTCAGCCCACATGTCTCCACCGGCGCACCTTTTCTGAAGTTGGTGGTGAAGAGCTGCATCCTGTCGAGCAGCTGGCTCTCCATCCGGCCCAGCTCGGCGCCCACTGTGCCGCTCCAGTCGGCCGCCGTGCCGTTACAGCAGGAGCCGGTCCGCTGGAGCGCCTCCCGGGCCGCCGACAGCGCGCTCTGCAGGTGGGCCAGCTCCGCCCTCAGGTCACCCATCTCCTGCTCCAGTGAGCCGAGCCGCGCGGCCGCCGCCCGGCCCTCGGCGTCCAGTCGGGACCTCTGCCGCTGGGCCGCCGGCACCGCCTCCTCCAGTGCGGTCAGACGGGCGAGCAGCACCTCCACGTCCCGTCCACCGTCCTCCCGGTCCAGCAGGGCGCGGACGGCCGCCAGCTCGGCCTCCAGGCGGCCCCGCAGCCGCGCCTCGGCGGCCTCCAGACGGTCGGTGGTGAGCGGAGCAGAGTCGGACGGCAGGCCCAGAGCGGCGCGAACAGCCGCCGCCGACGGGGGCAGCGCGGCGGCCGACCGACACGTCTGGAGGGGGGGGGAGGGGTGTCATTGATAAGTGGTGACTGTGCGGGAGACGGGCAGGAGAGAGTAGGATGGAAAGTCCCTGATCAGAGTAAACGCTTGACAGTCGCTTTGGCCGGGTCAAACACCTCAACAAAGCAACTGTTGGACAAAACACCCATTGACAGCGTGGATGATGATTCACGCTTCTGTGACGATGACACATTCACATTAATATTCAGATAAATTATGATAATAATACCAATAATACAAAAATAAAAATAGGCAGATTGTCCTAAACAGTCTAGCCTCACCTGGTATTCCTGCTGCAGCAGCTCCAGCCTGGCCTTCAGCTCGTCCATCTGTACCAGTACCTCACTGAGGCGGGGGTCGGATAGCGTCCGATCCGCGTCTCCGGCAACGGGGGCCACCACCACCTCAGCAGGGACAGGGGACGGCTCAGTACCCGCGGCAGGGGTGGGAGGTGGCAGAGCCGACCCAGAGGTCAGAGGTGCCCAGAGCACGGCTCCCGCCGAGCCGACCGCACCCGCCAGCTGAGCCAGCGCCACCTGAGAACCGGCAGAGCCGTCCATCAGATTAACGTTACCAGTACCCGTTACCCAGTTAGGGAGACAGCGCCATCACTGCTCAGATGTTCAGCTGAGCGGGGTCGTGACCCGACGGGAAAATGTGAAATATATGATTGCACCGATTGTTGTTTGTCATGGGGAAAATAAATGATAAAGTGAAAAAGTGGAATATGGCACAACATCCAAATGAAGCATATGTAGTTCTGAAACATTGCAACTCAAAGCCTAATATACCGATTAGCCAGTAAGGGTTGCGTACCTGTACTACCGCTAGACCGTAGATGCCGATGGCAATCAGTCCTTCAGCCAGTGATGTCAGCCCGGCGAGGATTCCTCCCAGTAGATATGACACTCCTCCGACCAGGAAGGACAGTCCTCCGCCCAGTGACGACAGAGCCTCCGAGAGGTACTGTTTGGCAGAGTCTGCGTCTGGTAGGGACCACCGTCCAGCGGGCAGCAGTAGCTCCACCGGTGACTCGCCACCCTCTCCGCCCAGCCAGCCTGAGGGCATGGCGATCGGGGTTAGGAACGGGCAATAAACCTTGCCAGTAGTAGTCTCCCAGTCGGACAGCTCTTAATTCATTCAGCAGTATCAACAAAGGTAAAGTGACGGTAAACTTGATGAAGTAATACTTCCCTCGTCAGACTTACGAAACGCGACCTCTCACCACCGCCAGTCATCATCTACAAGGCGTGCGGGATGGAATAACAATAAGCTGCGAACATCAACATTGACGTCGAATAAGCTGCGGCGATGAGCTACATTCTCTGGGGGTATCTTTACTCACCTAAGAAGGGCAGCAGCAGCAGTACGGTCAGTAGAAGCAGCAGCAGGGCAGCTGTCGCAAGGGGCAGACAGCGCCAGCCGCCGCCCTCCCGACGTTCCTTCACCGCTGCTTCACCCACCCAGCTCTCGGCGCTCGGCCCACCAGCTCCCACGCGGCTCCCGGCTCCCGGATCGCCGCCGGAGCCGGCCAGCAGGGAGCCGGAGCGGCGCCACAGCTCCGCCCGGGAGCCGGAGCCCGGAGCGGCGGGTGGCGCCGGAGCGGCTGACGCGGTCCCCACCGAGCCCCAGAGCAGCGCGCCGGCCCAGCGCAGCCAGCCGGGACGGGACTCAAGCTTCCCTGACGGACCAGTGAGTTTCCGCCGTACCGTTCGCGCCCACGCAGCTGGATTGAGAGCGGCGGCGACTGTGGCGGCACCACGCGGCAAGTCCAGCACTTCAGCCGCCGTCTGCGCGCGGGAGATGGCAGCACTGCAGGCTGCGGCCGCCCAGCGGAGGGGGTTCACGTACCACAGCACTGCCGCAAGCCAGGCGAGGGCGGTTAACAGCCTCCCAGGTCCTCCACCGGGCCTCACAGAGTCACTGCCATCCTGGGTAGACTCCCCATCCCGACCGGCACTCACTCCCAGTCCACCATTCTGTCTGCCGGCCGCCGCGTCCGACCACTCTCCATAGAGCGTATCTCTCTGCGGTGTGAGGCGCGGACGGAGCTGGTAGCGGTGCCGTGACGGCGGCCGACTGTTCCGCCTCTCCTTCCCCTGCACTGACCCCACCACCGGCGAGTCAGCACCCACTGCCGTCCTCGCTGTGCCCACCGACACTCCCGGCGCTAGCCCTGACGATACACCAGCCGCCGGCCCGGACGCGGAGACGCCTTTAGAGACTGGGGCGAGGAACAGCGGCCGGAGAGAGGTCCAGAGGTGGTGGCAGACGGCTGTCAGGGCCAGCCAGAGACGCAGCAGCGGCGAGAGGGCCTGACGGGCGCAGCGGCGCACCGACCAGCCTGAGGGAGACACAGGGGTAGGGTCGGACGGCTGACGACAAACGACACACGACACCCGTGGTGACGAGGCAATGTCAATCACTGGGAACGATTTTGCTCGAACCTTTCACGGACCTGCGTATATCTATGAGGTGATCAAATTATTCGATGTTTCACAGGGACTCGATGGCAGTGTTCTAAAATTGGATATTGGTTGGGTGTGCCGATGAAGAAAAAAAAATCCTAGGATGAGAAAAAAGAAGGAAAATAACTGCAGTATTTTTGTAAAATGGTGTAATGCCAGTTTTTATGCTAACTGATAAACCAGGATTTCATGTCAGGATCTTGACAGGGTGTGGAACAAAAGGATGTGAGTGCATCAACTGTCAAGTGACAAGGGAACTGGCTGTTGGGAATACATGAAACTCTTTTCAGAGATGAAGTAAAGTCGGTCATTCATATTTTAGGGATGAAAATATTTTCCCTATTAGGTGTGATTTGCCACCAAAAAGGCTGAAAAATGAAACACTGCTCGATGGAAAGCAGTGATGAATCCTATGAGAGCTACTCAAACAGAACCCGACAAAACAGCCTCACCCAGCAGTGAGCCGAGTCTCACCTGGTCGTGTTTTGTAGGGCGTGCTGCAGCGATGGGCGCCCAGTTTGGACACGCCGTCAGTAGGGAGCCACTCCTCGTCCTGGGAGTCGGCGTCCAGGCCGGGCGACAGGCCCAGGGTGGAGTCACCTGCCGGAAATAGGGGCGTCAGCAAGAGATATCGTCTGTGTCGCCTGCGGGAACAGGGGCGTGGTAGTCTGAGAGAAACAGTAAATATTGTTTGGAGGAGATGATAGCATCAGGAATAACAAATGTGCTGTGAATTGTAACACAGCGCGTTGTCACAGTCCCACTGCCTGACAATGATTTAACACCCAGCAAGGAACGACACAAAAACAATTTGGACATGGACAAGTAAAAATTAATGTGAAATTAACATTTTAAAAAGAGGACAATACTAGAGACGATTCCATCAGATTTCCCAATTTCGCCACAACCTGTCAACGGCCAACGCTCTCTTGAAATCACACAACACCATCGGTTCAGCACAGCCGCCCCCCCCCCCCCCGATTACCGAGTAGCTCCTCGAGTAGCAGTGCATCCTCGAGGGACGGAGTCGGACGGGAGGACTCCGCGGAGTTCGGGGAGGACCTGGGGAGGACGGAGGAGGAGCTGGCGGGTCCTCCCTCCGCTGGGAGGACGGCAGGCGGTGCGGGGGACGGCTCGGGTCCGGGCGGCGGCGGCGGAGCCTCGGCGGACGAGGAGTAGGTGAAGGAGAGCGGCGGAGCCACGGACGCTGCGGGCAGAAGGACAATATGGTGGACGGTCGGTAAAGTAACAGAGGGACACCACCAAATGCCTGGCCGTGCACGGGTGGACACGGTGGGTGGGGGCCCGTTTAGGAGGACACAACGGAGGTCAGTCAAAGAGGTAACGGTTGCTGATGGATGGTGGAGGCTAACCATGATCAATGGACCCAGTTAGTGCTAGCAGTGAGTTAATAGTGATCAATAGACGTAGTTAGTAACAACGGAGCATCAATTGATGGAGACAGTTAATGGTACACCAACGTCAATACGGACAGTTTAGCCACCAGACAATAGGTAATGGAGTAATGACAGTACGCAATACGGACAATGACGGGTTGACGGGAATCGATTGAGGCAATTAGTGACAGCGACGGCGGGACGACGAGAGTCCATTGTGATCTATAGAGAGCAGCCTACAACGTCACGGGCGGAGTCGGGTCGATAGATAACGTACCAGAGGTGGGAAGATAGCGATAATCAATACAGTCGGGCTATGGTTAGGATAGAAAGCACTGCCATATTCGATACAGGCCGTGGCAGAACCAATAGACAGCAGTAATCGATAAATACCGTAGCAGAGGTGAGTGCACAAAATGTTATTGATAAATCACTGCGTTATGATAGCAGTTATTTTTCCCACCTACCGTTTGACATCAGGCTGTTGGACGAAACACGCGAGGTGATCTCACGACGGTAGCTGTACACGCGCGTTGTTGTACTCTCATAGACGCCTGAAAACGAAATGTGGCCTGGTTATTTTGTCGGCGACTTCTTCAAATGACGACCGCTATTTGCTTCTGTCGGACAAAACAATGACCGTTTTAATAGCATACTCCTGAATAGCTGCTATTTCAAAAAGGAATATTTTCGACGAACTTTGAAGCTATCGCCAGCTTTTCATTTTCATAATCACTCGGGAATGGCGTCATAGACAAGCGTTACAGACCGATATTATCTGTTGATGACGGCATCCGAGCCCACACAATCCAGCACCCTTGCAATACCATTACGAAAGATAACGAGTCGTAAAATAAAACCATAGCCAACATTAGGCACCCCGGCTCCCCCCTGAAGAGACAAACACTCAACCACCCTATCCCCTCCACTCACCCCGCTCGTCGCCCGGTAGCGCCGGACTGGCCGCCGCCTGCGCCGCTCCCCTATCAGCGCGGCTGGGCGCGGTCCGTGGCGCCGGCAGCGGGCTGTCCCCTGCCCCGTGTGAGGGTGAGCGCAGCCCCAGCCGGGACATGCTGGGCGGCCCGACTGGCTCCGGCCGGACTGCAGTGTACGACAGGCTGCGGGAGTACGTGTAGTCCGTGCGCGGCTGCTTCCTGGGGTGACACACGTGGGGAGGGTGTTAGTGTGTCACAGGGAAGGCGTTGGTCGGTATACGGCTGCTTCCTGGGGTGACATACGTGGGGAGGGCGTCAGTGTGTCATAGGGAAGGTGTCAGTCGGTATACGGCTGCTTCCTAGGGTGATACGCAGGGTGTAAGTGAGTCAGTGTCATACACATCGGTAATGGAAATGTGTGCGGGGAGAGCAGCCTGAGAAAGCTACCGGCGAGCGGAAGTACTGTGACTTCATGATACCAATTTCGCAGGGCATCGTGACAAAAACATCAGCCGATTCCAAAGTTTCCTTTTTGTCATCGGATGGTTTCCCTTCAGGGCAAAACAATGCAATCTTCTTACGTCCCCATTCGTGACCGACTGCCTCCCCTTCCAGTATGACCGTCAGTCACCCGACTCGCATGAACTCCTAACTCCTCGCTCCTCCAACTCACATGAACTCCTCGAACTCCTCGTCGCTGCTGTAGGCCAGGTAGGAGAGGTCGGGCAGCCCGCTGGTGTCCATCTGAGACTCCTCCTGGCGGCGGCGCTCTTTGGCCGGCCGGCGGACCCGGCGGGACCGGGCCGGGCGGTCGTCGGTCTCCGCCCCGCTCACCTGGTCAAACACAGAGGCCAGCAGAGCGGCCGTGCAGTCCTGAGAGGCGGCGGCAGCACCGGCGGACCTGGATGGCGCCTGGACGACAGACATGAGAGGGGAGGGTTAGGGACGAACAGCGGCACCGGCGAACCTGGCCGGCGCTTGTACCGCAGGCACACGGACACAGTAACCAACTACGATCACACCTCTAGTAGTCACCTGACCAGCACACTTATCACCAAAGGAAAGGACACCATACACTTAAGTATAAAACTGACCCGCTTCTTTCCCCATTCCCACAACGCAGAAGATAGTAGGGGAGTAAGCTGGGCTCGCTCCCACACCGCGGACACCTCTAACACCCACCGGTCGCGTGGAGCTGCTCTTGATGGAGTGCATGGAGTCGTTGAGCGCGCCGCCGGCCTGGCCCGACACACGGCGACCACGGGAGCTGAAACAAGAGGGACAGGGTCAGCATATACATAGGCAACAGACTCCAGTGGATGCACGGGGAAAGATAACGCTGGATGTAAACTATCTTATAATTAAGCGCGTCTGTGGTGAGTATGTGGCCATTGGTAATGTAGGCGTTTGCTTTTGTCCACGAACATATTCCAGAAACCAGTTAGACCTTTCCGTCTCGGGGATTACCAGGGTAAGATCACTGCAGCGCACATATGCGCTTTGCGTGACATCAGCCGACAAGCCCTTTACATTTTGCCCGCATGTCAGTTGCCGCCCGCACTCAGGACACAGTGACGAGCGCACGTCCGTATCCACCTGTCTATAACCTCGGCTCACATTTCCATGGCCCGGCGACCCTAATTATCGCCACCATCCCATCCGGTCAGTCCCGCTACACCTCACCTCCGCAGTACGTGAGAGCCGACCATTAAACCCGCTAACGACCCCATCGTCCGACCGACGCACCGAAAAACGTGTGCTCGCGTCCAGCCCCAGAGTTTCGGCCGACGCCGCCCGTCCAGACACCGTCCGTCCGTCCGTCCCGGGTCGGTGGAGTGGGCTGACTCTTGATGTGACACAGGCTCCGAACCAAATGGGCACGCGGACCCCGGTGGGGAGGGGAGACGGGGAGACTGGTGAGTCATCGCGGAACACGCTCGCGGCGACAGGGCCCCAAACAAACGGGTAGGCGGGTCTGTCTCTGCTCAACAGAGGCAGGGAGGGAGGATGGGACAGAACAATGGACGGACGCACACAGGATGCGGGTCTACGCGGTGGGAAACGGAATCAATGACGCCACCGTTCCAATCGCCCAGCAACCAAAATTCCTGCTAGTATGTCCAATGTCTATGCAATCTGGGCACAAAGGACCAACAACTGCACGTCGAATGCGTGTAAAAGAACCCACAGCACGTCACTTTCTATGCATCATTGGACCATTGCCAGACTGCTAGTGCTGACTGCTGAGTGCCTCATTCCCCGTCGGACCGAGTCAATCCCACCCAGCTCGCAGCGTTCGGTTACCACCCGCATGCCACGCGTCTGGTTTGATCGTCGGCGTCTCGCCCGGTCCGGCGGCGGTTCACCAGACGCAGGGGAGCAGCCACGCGCCCCTGGCAGTCCGCAGGCTCCCCACGTGGGAGAGCGCGGATCGATACTGCTGCCAAGGGCGTCCGACCTCACTGCATGCTACCGCCGCTCCTGGCAGCCGGTAATACTCGCGCACTGCACGGGTTGCATGGTCCTGCATGAACGGAAATTTACCATTGCAGTGTAAGGATCAATAAATGCATTAGGGTCACTGTGACTGCCCATGGTCATGATTAATGGACCATTGATAAGTCAAAGTGGCAGTGTTGCACGCCACTGGCGACTACAGCGCTGCTATGAACGTGACACAGTGCTGCGTCCAGCAGCGCGTGCAGTCCAATCACGGCATTGGGTGAGGATGGGGAGAGAAGGACCGACAGTCCTGGGTGCCACAAGAACGGTGTCACGGCCGCGGCGGGCATGTGAACTGGGGAGACAAATCGCAGCACCCAACATCAGACTACAAGAGAGCCTTTGCTGTGGTGTGCCAGCAGCTGGAACCAATGAGTAGTACCAGCACATCCGGTCAGTGGTGCCAGGTACTAGGAAGACCGGCTGCAGGCTGCGGGTTCCGAGGCCGGGTGGTGCGGTCCGTGCCTGACAATGCTGTCAGGCGATACGGTCCGAGTCTGACAGCACAAGTCGGCAGTGATTGCGCGGGTACACCGCTCGGTGATTCACCCCTGAGCGCGATTCCCCTGCTGAGTGACGGACACCGGATACTGTGACCAGTGGGTGGTGGTAGCAACTGGCTATAGACCACTATTGTAACTTCCAGCAACACGGGAAAGAGGAAGTTGCACAGGAAGGAAGGAAGCATGCGGTTTTCTGGAGTAACACTTGATATCCGTCTGACGAGGCAAGCGATGCAGCCAAGCATTCCGCTCTTCTGCATTTATCAGAATATCAAACGTTCAGCCGCGTTTGCAGCATCGTTACCGATCATGATAATTCGGCATCATGATATGCTAGCTCAACAACGTGCCAAATATAACAATTAACCGTACTTTGGGTAGGCTAAAACATCGCGCAATGACACTGAGCTCTCTATCAGTAACAAATAAATGACTCTGAAGTCTGAGTCACAGCACATTCACAGATAATCACAGCCAGTCTCATGTCCGTTCAGGATTACGAGTCCCGCTGATACAAACCCCAGACGCGCGGCGCTGACCACGTTGCCCGGGTTCAAAATGTAAACGCATTCCAATCTTTCAAACATTGTAAAACGTCCGGCTAGTTCATATCGGTGACCGGCACGCGGAAACTCGGGACAGCATTCGCGTAATTCATTCTCACGGAAAGTGTAGTGTAATGGTCTCTGGATTTTCGGTGTCACTGGCCACTGGACACTGGACAGCATTGGTGTGACTTCGATTCAACAGTACCTACCTATTCAAAAAAGATACGGAGACAAGCAACTTCAATTAAGTAAAAAACATCAGCTCCATTCGCATCACGAGTCGCTGCCGATCAGAATACAAAGTCGGCCAATGCAAACCTGCAACTAATCATTGCTATCATGCTCCAGGGAAAACACAGCCACGAATGTAAGTTCTAAAAACAACGCCCCGCACCATGGCCATTTTTCTGAGCCGAGTTTGGCGCCGGAACACGGTCATGTGACCGCAGGGTCCGTGACAGTGCAGTCAGCGACCACAGCGATCCCATGGCCGCGTCAGTCCCGGCACGGCCCCGACCGCATTGAAATCGCCACAGACGTGACCGGTAATGAAAAGTTCGAGCTGAAATACAGCCCAGACCTACCTGGTGGGTAGTCGAACCGAACCACACCGCGCTCCGGTGTCGGCGCGAACCGACCGCAGCGTACACAGAGCCGGGAATCACGCGCCGCGGCGTACCACCCGAGCCAGCCCGGTGGGACGGGTGTCCGGTGACCCCGGAGGTGTCGCATAGAGTGGTGACCCTGACACGCACCCATAACGGCAGCTGCTGACATTGAAACTCGAGTGCAGGTGATATTTAGGATGCTGGCGAAAATAGCCGTGACTTTCAACAAAATGTGTTCAGGTCACGGTCACAACACTTCAAATTGTGACCAAAACAACGTTTGAAACGTGGGACATACAAATACTCATCAAAACATCTTCGAATGAAAATGTCCCAAAGTGAATGTCGAAAGCACAACATTCCGCTTGACATCGCTAAGATCGATCGATCGATCGACTCGCCCACTTTGTCGACCACCATCAATATCGGACCAATAGCGGCAAAATCCAATTACCGCTGAGCTGGACAGGAGCGAAAACGGGTGTGGATGACTGCCGATGGCGCTGTTAGGATGCTACTAGAGAGCACTGGTAATTAATTTTTCGAAGCTCGTATGGAAGCGAACACAGGAAGTCACCAATTCAATTCAATAGGCCACCGAGACAATCGGTGAAACGAAGATAAATGGCTGTTTTTGGTAAATCGACAGAAAGTAATTTCCGTTCACGTTGCTTACACTCACTGAGATGGAAATTAAGTCCACCTAAATCATCTCCTTAGTCTGCTGCACATTCTATTGAGTTGGACAATTGAACAGGAAACTGAAAGGTCGCGTCCTACTTATCTACAATCCACACCTACGCTGACTGAGAAGCTGACTGTGGCAAACTCGCAAATAGGTAAAGCCCACCGTCCGTCCGTGTACAGAACTGGGCCATTCAAACAGCGAGCGTGTGGTCGCCCAATATCCCCACAGCCCAGAGTTCACAGCCCGTGGGTCAGCCAAAGCGGCAACGCTGCGGCGCGACTCTGCCCCGAGCTGCGAGTCCGCTCGGAGCAGGACGGAGCCGACCCGTCCTAGTTCGCACTCTCATTGTGTGCCTGCTGACAGCAGCGGGCGGACGGTGACGGGGCATTTATAGAGCGTCACATCACTGCGTTTTGTAGTGGCAGCGATGGTTTGCGTTCCATTTGTAGTGGTTTTGACACAGGCGGTGTTCAGTTATTCACGGCTATTGAAAAATCGAAGGCGACCTCAATCCAGACAGTGCTGAGAGACTGGCAACTAATTTGATGAACGTCAGATGACTGGCAACGATTCAAGTTGACTGAACATGCTTTGACCTGGAACATCCCGCCCATTCAGTGGGATTGAGGAGCGGACTGTTGGGCGGTCCAGCCCATACCCACACCCACAGCCACTGGCTACTCCACCCCAGCCCCCACTGAATAAAGTGAAGGATCGGCGCAGGGCCGGTGGACTTTTTGAAGTGCATCCATTCCAGAGAGCAGGTAGTGGTGACTGTGCAAAGTTCACTCCTGACGTCATCAGCCAACACTTCAACGCCCAAAGCTACATATGTGGAAGACGACTATCTATTTGTGTCACTGATTGATTTCCATAGTTCCAGAAAAACGGAATTCACATGTATTTCATCTTGGAATCCACTGTCCCAAAAAAAGACAAGAATCTCGCGTCGACGGCGGCTCTGCCTCTCGCTTCATGTCGCCGCAAGAGACGGGTTCTCACGGAGCTTTGGGCGCCCGATAGCGCGTGAGAAGTCTAGGTCCGCGATTACATTGAGACTGGCTGACGTTCAGTGAGATCTTAGACGCTGGCTCTGTGCCCTGTAGTTGCCTGCTGAGTTACAAGGCGCTACAAAACTTAGCAGCTCACGCCTGGACTGTCAGTAGGTAGTCTTCTAATCGAGGTTGAGTCAACATCATGCTGTAAATCAACGCGATTGGCAGATCTACAAAATCACCGAGCGTGCAGAAACCGTATTTGGATTGGCAAGAACCATCACATTATGACTACGCCGAGTACGAAAAGCAGAGCACGACCCAATTCTCCTCCCTCTCACATTTCATCCCCTCTACCCAGCTGTGCGGCAGGAACCTCGTCCCGTGCGGTATGCCATACAAACGAGTGAATTACTCTCTGAAGAGCGGCCCGCCCGGCCCAGCCACCCCACTGACTGCGCTCAATGGATTGATGAACTGCGTGCCGCCGGCCGCGCCCCTGCGGCCTAAGCAGGTCAGAGAGTTCAGACTGATCAAAACAACACACAGGCAGAGCCCACGGCCCGCGCGGGCCGACTGAATGGTGAGCAGAGAAGTGAGTCCCCACATCCATCAAACCGGTGGAAACATTCTCTCAAGACACATGCTGGAAGCCCTGGAAAAAGGAGCTCGAGCCGCGGCTGTGGTGCTGCAAGTCAAGTCAACTGCCCATCCTAGGCCAACAGCGTTCCAGCAACAGGCAGATACTTGCCTATACTCATCACTCCAATCCTAATTAAAATTACCCACTGGCTGACACCAGCACCGTACAACACTAATCACACCGTCATGACGCCCATGACACCTACTCTGACACGTCTGACACCTCGTGACACCGCCGGCTTCCAGGCTGACGGCTAGCTCTGACGCCGCAGCACATCACATTGGCAGGAATGTCACGAGCTGGCGGCGTCGGGGAACGTCACGACCTACCAGTTACCACCGAGTGCCAACCCGCTCTCGCGTTGGTTCTGGGAGCCGTGTAAGGTAAAGTCAGCTCGACAGATTGCAATGTAGATCAAAGCGTAACACAGACCGACAATGGAAGGCGCCGCGCGGTTGGATTAGAAATCCTGGTTACTTGCAAGCTGCATTGCCACGCTACTCTAAAAGATATATCAATAAGTTTCCAAGACATTGTAACTTCATATTAAGTTGAAGTGGCACTACACAGATGCTTCACAGACAGGGGCGCGGGAACTACTTTCTGACTGGGGGGGGGGGGGCACACCATAATAGAGATTAACCTAGGGTACCCCCAAATCTAGTTTTCTCACCGGTTTTAGACCACTTATTTTTCACCCCTCGGCTTTTTCAACAAAAAAGAAAACATTTGCAAAAAAAGTGTGGTATTCCGTCTCAAAGCTGTGGGGGCACCGCCCCCACGGCCCCAGAGTTGGGGGGGGGGGGGGCAAGCTGCCCCCACTGCCCCCCCCGGCTCCCGCGCCTATGTTCACAGATCAAGATACCGAGCACATCAGCGCTGGCAGGGAACGTTAATCTTCAACGAAGGCTGGCTAAAACGCATTCACAAAATTGGGAACAGCACCGCCACTAATTAATCCTTCCGACCGGCTCTGGACTCAGTAACTGCCTCGATGGCAGACCTCCATGACTCGGCTGTGTTCCACAGCGGGCTCCCGACCACTCCAATAACAACGTTATCTTCCGTTAACTATAGCGCCGCACAGACTCTGCTCGAACGTTACATTGGCTGATGATCGGCCGGCCGTCCCTCTCACGTTATGTCCATTCCTCCATTCCTTACGCGATGTGAGAGGGACGGTCGACGAGCTGAAAAAGAAAGAAAAAAAAAATCGAACCCGACGGACGCTCCTCTCGGCGCGCGGGAGCGCGCCTCCGCCGCGCGCGCCGAGCGCCCACGCACTGGGGAAGCGTCTCCCGTCCCCTCCCGTCCCGTCCGAGAGGGCCGCGCCGCCGGCGGGGCCGCCCCGGGCGGCGGCGCGGCTATTCGGAGGACCGTCTCGCCGCTGTCCGGCGCTAGCCCGTTAACGAACATTTGACTGCACTGACCGAGGACGCCGCTCCATCTCCGGCTATTGTCCGCGTTCACAGGGCAGTGTGAGGCGGACGTCCGAGTCTAATCGTTAACAGGCCGCCCTGGGAGGGAGGGGCGCCTCATCAGACGCTCAAAGAACCGGCCGTGCCTCACGCTGCGGGGTGTCTAAAAACGACCCTCCCCTCCGGCGCGACTGACTGGGCAGGTCAGAGGTAACAGGTCACAGGTCATCACTCGCGAGTCACTGGATGGGACAGGGTCATTGAACGCACAGTAAGGATGGACTGTTGAAGCACTGGAGCGGCAAGATGAAACAAACGTATGCAACAAAACTTTAGCAACCGTGGAAACACAGCCAGCGGAGGCGGCAGATAAAGAATGTCCTTTGAACGGAGCAGAGATGCGAGATAAGCGATAAAATTTGTTTGCCAAACGTGTCAAACAGCCAGCTGCTTTCTTTATCTGTCCATCAGATAACGACCAGCGTTATTGCGGGTACTTCAAGGGTGTCGACCTGTGAAGTGCGCCGCACAGCTGTGGTAAACATATTTACTCGTAGCTGTGATGCGCTATCGACAACACCAAAAGGCAAAATCAATGGACTTTGACCGGAGAAAGATGTCAAGAGCTACTCGTATATGCTCATAAGCGTTCAAATAAAAAAGATCTAAGTAAAACTTGAGCCGGACTTAACAATAGAATACAGTCCAGCGGCACAACGATGGTGCCCGTATCTACTAAAATGAAAAAGGACGTCAATATATTTCAAAAGTCGACCTGAATAGTTCGGCAAACAGCCTTACCCGGCTCTCGTTTACAGCATACTAAAAGGACCAATTCGGTCCACTCTGTCCAGTGTCCAGTGCCCCCAGCCTGTACGCGGAGCGTTGTGCTGTCCAGCAAACTGCACACATTGCATCGTACACGGGCACGGCACACCGTGCATTGCACAGTACCGCCGCCTCAGTCAGTATCCGCACTGCTGCACGGTGCACTATGTCCACTTCCAATCCAGCGTGCCCTCAGAGGAGCCTCTGCGTGACACACACCACCGGCTGACTCACCCCAGCCTCCCCTCTACCCAAAGAGAGCAGCGGGGGTTTGGAGCCGTCGTCGGTAGTGTGAGGGTACTGCGAAGGCCGGGACTCCACCGCGGTACAGCTAATCGATCGAAGTACCGATCCTGGTCCATTCGTCGCAGGTCAGAGCAGTGCAGTGGTCCCTTCGCCGACGATAACTATGCAATATGCATGCCAGTGGCTCGGCCAGTTACCTACCGTTATCTCTTACTAAGCCTACCACGGCAACAGGCAACAGGCAACAGGCGCTCCCGATGGTATACCAGTCTTGGGCATATCGCCAGTCTCGGCCAACGACGCAACGCTATAATTTGGAAAAGGTTAATTTCGAGGGTACAACATAAAATCCGTTTAAATATGTTTTTTTCAGGATGATGACGCCGAACACGTCACAGTGCCATGAGTAGAGACATCATCTGGAAACTGAAACGGATGATAGAGCCCGAGCGGACTGGACGTGACGCACGCTAGGCGATCGTTCCCAACGGGATAGAGATAAGCGGACCCGCGGTGACGTTAATAGAGTGACGTCACGAGTCAGATATAATCCAGATTACAGGCTGCGGTGCAGAGTAGATGATAATTGATATAGCTATACGCAAGTTTTAACAAAAAAAAAAAGATATTATGGGACAGGTTTGAATGGTTTGATAAAAGTATGCAAAATGCAGACGCATAATTCATGAGCTCGAACCAAAGTGCCAACTCCAGTCGCAGTCAATCTGACCTTGGCATGTAAGACCAATACCAGTAGAAATCAATATGAATTTCCAAACCACATAACGGTTTAATGGCTCACGGCACGTTCTCTTCCAGCCTAACATGACGGCGGCTACTCCCACCCAAACCAGGCTGGGCCACATGAGCGAGCCCCTCAATCCGAGACATAGTTTGAGAGGTTAACTTTTCCGCATCGGAATCGAACCTAACCCCACTCTGTCGCTGTTGTATCCCGCGTTTAGTCACGCACTCCACCCGTATCCGCTTACCTGGTCGGCGGCGCGCGGTCCGTGGAGTCAGGCACGTAGAAATGCTCCATTCCGGCGCAGTGGCAGCCGGCGCCTCCCGAGCACCGGGAGCGCAGGAACAGTTCATCTCCCATCGCCGCACACAGGGGCTACACTCACACTTCCCGCCACCAGTCGCGCTGGTGGAGACTGGAGAGCGTCCCACACTCTGCGAGCACCGCACTGTCTCACCGCGCACTGCTGAGAACGTCGGGCGCGCGCCACTGGCAGTTGGCACTTTGCTTTACAGTCTCCGCGCCCACAGCGTCCGCATCCGGACCGGTCATCCAAACCGACGACTGGCGTCTGGCTCGGTCGACGGCCGGCCGGCGCCGACTCGCCGGACGGACTAGTTCGCCGACTGGCCGCCAGGCGGCGGGCCGACGGCGGGAGGTCCCTCAGAGGGTGCCGGCTGAATGAGGATCAAAGCAGCTCACTGACTTTAACCTGCAAAACCGAAACAAGTACTAACCATCAGTCAAAAACTCCTGTCCATAGGTTGGGTATTTAAATAATTTGAAAAGAAAAGGCTGCACAATGAAGCATGTGAGCCAAAATCAGTCAATCAATGGTAAAATTATCATTCCATAATCCATAATGGCATGCATTTTTAACAATTGCATGGTCAACTAGTGGCATTCATGATTCAAACAATTAGAGAAGCTTTATGAATTACCATTTATGATTCAAGATAGCTTTATATTTAACCATAAGTAAAACAACTGCAATTCTGCACACCATGAATTGTGCCTGGAACATGTCAACACTCAAGTAGTCCAGTCTGGAAAAATAAGTATATTCAATAGGAAATCAAGTCACTGTGCTTCTTGATGAAACCAATGCTCAGTATGGACCCATAACTCTGGACAAATAAAAATAGAATATATGTTTGGCTTCAGCAGATTTATGATAATAATGATTTGGAGATTTAGGACACCCAGAATGTCAATGATCCTGACAATTCCAGTGACCAGCATTGCTATGAGGATTCATCATTGCCATGATTGGATCATAGATCCCACTCCCAGTGCCATGGGCGGCGCCACCGGGGGGGACGGGGGGGACAGGTCCCCCGCTATCGAAAGTTAGGGGGGTACAGTACCCCCCTATCGGCGAGGCCCGTTCAATAGTTGATAATAACGCATTGTAGAGTTATCCGTCGCATTTAATGCATCGTTGGTTAATCAAGGCAGGTTCTGAATAAAAATTGCTGTTGGGATGTATTGCAGGGGGTCCTGGCCATCTGCAAAAGGTGTGGAGCTGTGATGCCTGTAGTTATAAGGTGATCGGTAGCGGGGATCGTGCCCCCCCCTTTTTGGGGCGCCAGGCACAGGGTTATTACCTCCCCACCCCACTGCCAGACCCCATTGCCGACAAAACCAAGTCTACTGAAATTCAATAGATTTCCGTTACTCTATGGATATTGTCCATTCCTAATATGTAAGTCAAATTCAAGCATGGCAGTTCTACCACAGGAACCATTTGAAATCTATGCCATTTAACCCCAGCACTTGGGGAGAAGTGTTCGGATAGATTACAGGCAGGACCAAAAAGCACGCAGTAGCCCAAGACCTTATAATTGGGTAGCATCGGCTCCCTCTCGTCAAGGGGTTCGATAGCACTCTTTTTTTTTCTTCAAAACTAAGTTCGGTGGGCGGCCGAACGGCTGGGGGTCTAATCGAGCCCCCCCCCCTCCCCTTCTTACGTCAGCGGCTGTGAAAATGCCATTACCAGCTGTTGAAACATGGCAGTTGCTTTTGCATGAGTGCACGAAAGGGTTTTAGGTAAGTACGTGATACGTGAAAGGTTCTACATGAAAATTGAGATACCTACACCAGCTTATCAAATTGTGCTCACTGTGGTGCGCTCGGTTTTACCTTGACTAGTCTTTGAATTCTGGGGTGAAACAGACCAGCCAAGAGACCTGTTCCATAAGGAGAGCCACTAATGCTAAAGAGATGAGGGATGAGGTTTCCAGAGACCTTCATTACCTCCCAAAGGGGTGCCCCGCCATTTGCCAATCCCTGCTGTAGTTGTTACGATTGGAGGGTGAATATGAGAACGATGCAGGTCGTGCCAGCTCGATCATGACGAACACAATGGTGCCGACATCACAGCTCTACTGCCATTTTTGACGAAGTTAATCAACAAGGACCGGAATCCAACCTGGGGCATTTCACCTGCAGAGGTCGTCGGACCTGAGACCCTTTCACTCAATTTTTTTTTTCAACGGTGCATGCGCTCGTTTTTTCCGCGAAGCTCTTGGTAAGAAAATCCATCAGAAAGTGTGATCAAATAACGGCTGGTGACCTTCCATGACCTAGCATGACCTTTTGAGTGACCACCGATGACATGACCACTGACGGCTAGCCATTAGCTGCACCCTGCCCGTTGCATATGGATCAGGTGGTGATGTCATGATTCTGAAATTATATAGCAGTTTTGGCGCACTTGTCAGAGCAGAAGACATTCCCACTTTTCCTCCATGACAATTTGATGGTGAAGCCATAAAGCTGACCAGACGTAAGATCGAAAATTTGAAAGTACGAAACGTAAGAATAGTTGGCACTGCTACTCATACCTAAGCAATTCGCAGCTTGTAGGAAACCAGCTTTGAGTTGGCAAGACTGCAAATTTTGATTTAGACTTTAGAGGCAAGGATGCTTGAAAAGGTGATCGATCTTAGGTGTCCTAGGATAAGTTTGGAAACGGGATGCACCATTCGATGTGTTTTGGGCTTTGCCAAGTTTCGCGGCGTTACGTGCCTCGTTTTTTTTTTTTTTTGCATACACGATCAGTATCTACTTTTGGGATTTTCGGTCAGGCAAGGTCCCCGTCCCCCCCTATCGAAAACCCGTGGCGCCGCCCCTGCCCAGTGCACAACTGCATACCTACCACTGCCAGACTTAAACCCACAGTAAAATCTGGTACAGAGATTTAAAATCTGGTGCCAGGCACAGAGGCTTGGCATCCTACCGCAGCATCTCCATCTAAAGAATTTGAATAAGGTAGCAATCTGTTGCTTTCTGGTATTGAACTAGCAAAGAAACCTAAGTGGCTGATAACAATAACAGAAAAAAATCACTTAACAATGCTTTTTTAATGGAAATTGTGACTCCTGCATAAAAAAAACAGTCCAGCTACCGCCCACCAGTACCACTACCACCTTGCTGGGTCCCACAAACTGAATCATGCATGACAATGAGCTCAAGCTCAATTCACACTGATTGGTAACAACACCATTTTTTCTCCCACAATTCATGCATCACGTCAATCAACAACAACAACAACAAAAAAAACAGCGAGAGCCGAGAAGGAACCACGCCGGACCGCCCCCATCCGCACTTTCCCAAAACACAAACACAACAACAAACCAAAACACAAACACAAGCAAGCAGCCAAGGCCACCGAAATGGAGAAGAATGCTTAAAAATCAAAATCTAAGTACTGTTGAGGATTAAACAGGAAGAAATCTGTTAAATATGTCTTATCTATGGCTTCATTAGTCGTACAACAATTTCAACCAGCCTCAGCTGAGTTTTTGATTATTGTCTTTCATAATTTCGTGAGCTTTAAATTTAGTTACGCCTTTCCGATTTCTGAACGCTCTGAGACAACTATGGCGCTAGCGTTCCTCGGCCTGTTCATCTATTCCGTATGCGTTTCCCGGCAATCACTTGCTTGTGCTATTCAGTCACTCATTGGTCGTGAGTGTGGCGGTCTGAAGCCTCATTGGTTCATTCCCACCTTGCCACCTAGCGTGATTTTGAAAAAGCTTGTTTGATAGCTGTATCCGAACAGCTTTGCGGAAAAAAAACGGGAAAAGGCCTTATATCTAAAGGCCAGAGGAAAAAGCGGAAAAAGCAAGGCCCTAGGGAAAAAAGTAAGGGAAAAAGCCGGAAAAGCAAGGCGGAAGCGGCGGAAAAAGCAAGAGACGCCCTTGGAGGCCTTGGAGACGCCGGTCGCGTTTTGACTCTTGTTTTGACCAGGGCCTTGGTTTTGACTTGGTTTTGACCATTCTGCGGGTCACTGCGGGTGCGCTATATTTTTGTTGTTGTTGACCGTCTCGTTTTGGTGTATGTGTGCTGTGGGGAATGTAAATAAAAATTGTTACTAGAATCTAGATTGGTATTACATTATGCGATTGTGATTATGCATCACAATCGCATAGGTAGGTAAAAGTTTGGAATTGAAATGCAGTTCTTATCAATGCAATGCCAATGCTAAATAATGAAACATTTTCCATTTCCATTCTGGTTGAAGTCATTGATATTTGTCAACACAAGCTATGCTAGTCATATTTCGTATCAATTTCAAGTTTCCTTGTTGAAAGTAGGCATACGGATTTTTTTTTCACTTTACTTAGTAGGTACTTTATCTGAATATTCCCTGAGACTGGTCTTTTGTTTCAGATACTATGGCTGCCTCACAAAAATTTTGCCTGAAGTGGAACAACTTCCAGAACAGTGTAACCTCAGTGTTTGACAGCCTGCGGCAAGATGAAGAACTGGTGGACATAACGTTGTGCTGTGAGGGGAGAAAGATAAAGGCACACAGGATGATGCTGTCAGCATGCAGTCCTTATTTCAGGGATCTCTTCAAGGTAAGATGAGGCTGTTTTCGTTGATTCTGTCAGGTGGCGAGGATCGGTAACCTTGTTTGCATCTGGTGCAATTCACTTCTTACCTTGTACTTTGCTAATAGTTGTTTGGACTTGCCTTATTAGGCTATGATTGTTCTTTATGGGTATTTTGATGATTAATTGATGACCATGTTCTCCCTGTTTCCAGGACAATCCATGCCAACACCCCCTGTTCTTCTTGAAGGACACTTCATATGTAGACATTGCAGCTGTGATAGAGTTTGTGTACAAAGGAGAAGTCAATGTGCTTCAAAGTCAGTTGGCAAGTTTCCTGAAGACAGCAGAGCTGCTCCAGGTCAAAGGACTCTCAGGGGATGAAGAGGAAGACCAGGTGTGTATTGCTTGCTGTTCTGATATTTTAACATTCTACCTACCAATGCAGTTAACAGGTGATTGTGTATTTATTTGCAAGTGTTGATGTCTTGGAGTGCATATGGTCATGTGAACGTTGAAGGAGAAGCCAATGAACTCATGGCTCATCATTACCATTGTTTGTTTTTAACTTGCTGACATAATCTGTTTAGAGAAACTATACTTCCTCTTGCAAAGCAATGCTGTTATTTCTATGGTTGTATGTTAGGCGGCACGGGCGGACATCGATAGCAGCGCCTCTATCGGTCACTAGGGAAAACTGGGCTGTAGGCGACGATATACCGGCTGAGTTGTCACACGTTGAATAGGTTTATAGCCATCCGTCTTGTGAAAAGTTGAACTTTTGCCTTTAATATTTCTACAGGCAATTTTAGAAGTGTCTTCACATGGATTACAAAACCGTTTAGATTATTGTATTCACTTCAAGCCTTCCCTATTGTTCTTGATGATGCGGGAACTATTTCTAATTAGTGTTTCTAGCTTAGTAAAAGAACATACTGTGCAAATGATGAAAAAAAGCATAAATGGCAGATTTTAAATGCAATTTTCTCTAACAATTAATGGTAAATTTTCTACATATCAAGGAAAAGGTGCATGCTAACTGATAATTTAAAGTTCTTGGGGCCAGTTGCTTTCTTCTTTTCTTACGTCGCCCCAATGGCCGTGAATACACTTGTGATAACGCCTATCGAGTTCATAATGGGGATTTCTTGTCTCTTATACATGCTATCTTGTTTCCTTCCCAGGCACCCAGGTCTCAGCCGCCGGACCGGTCCCGCTTACCGTCCGGCCCGCCGCCGCCGCCGCCGCCGGTGCGCCAGCGTCCCCGCGAGTCGGCCGAGCCGCCCGCCTCGCCGCGGCTCAAGCGGCGCCGGCTCTCGGGCTCCTCGGGCAGCCGGCCGGGCTCTCCGTCAGCGGTGAGCGCCGCCCCGCCGCCGCCAGCAGCCGCCGCGGGGCCGCGCGACCCGGCCGCGGACGTGATGGCCGGACCGCCGGGCGCCGCCCTACCGCCGCCGCCACCGCCGCCCGTGTCGGGCGCGGATTTGGCGGAGCCGCCCCCGCCGCAGCACGAGCCTCCGCCGCCGCCCCAGCCGGCTGCCGGCCGACAGGACTATGGCATCAAAGTGGAGAAAATAGACATTGCGGACGATGACGATGACGTTAGTTTAGAGGCCACGCTGGGTCAGGTGTCGACGTTTGAGGCGTCCCAGTTCGATGGGTCAGACCACTCGGCGAGCTCCCACGATATGAGCGGGCTTCTCTCCGGACTTTCCGACAGAGGTGAGTAGAATAACGACAAATATTCACTACAAAAAGAATCATCTTAATCTGCTCGATATTTTGTTGGTTTTTTTTTTCTTAAATGTGTCACTTCTGATATAAAACTGATAAAGCAGCAACGGTTGGAATGAATTTTTCCGTATCTGGCCGAATGACAAAAGTCACCCAGCCGTGTGCAGAAATTCAGCTGTTTCTTCCATAATCTCACCGGCGTTGTTTGTATTTCAGTCGGCGACGTGTTAGCTCCGTCGGCGTCGGCAGAGGACGGCTCAGCACAAGGTTAGTTCGGATCGCTTTTCTCCTTCATCGGGTGCTGTTTCATCGGATTATATTAACATTTCGTCGTGGTATGTTTACACCTCAATAGTATTAAGATCATCACCATATCTTTGCTTAAAATGCAACAGTTGCCTAGTTTTTGGTGTAATACAATTTAAAAGTCAATGCCACTTTTTATTATCGATCAAAAACTAGGTAATGCTCCACGAATTCGCCATTATAATCACGGCTATTGCTTTAGGTATGCCTTAGGCAATGTGCAATTTCACAGTTTTTTGCATGCATGAAATTTTGCATGTGAATTATAAAGATATATAAGCTACAACTTTGTAAAACCGTTGCTGGCTGACTTTCTCGCGGTTTTAAAACGAAAATAAACGTACTCTTAAACTAATTAAAATACCAGTAAAACGCCTTTTGGGCGAAGAACGAGCGAGCGAGATAGTGAGCCCTGCACGTGCGGAAGGGCGAAAGGGTACTTCCAACGGGCTTGCGCAAAGCACCCTTCTAACCGGTCGCTAGCGGTGTACCAAATTTGAACGCAATCGGCCCAGCCGTTCCTGAGATCTGGAAGCGGCATTCTGCACGTGCGCACGTGCAAACGGGGTCCAAACTGACTTTTGCACGGCACCCTACTAACCGGTCTCCAACCGTGTACCAAATTTGAGCGCAATCGGCCCAGCCGTTCTCGAGATCTGGAAGCGCCCCCTGCACGTGCGCACGTGCAGTAGCACCTTAACCGCAACACATGGGAATGCATTGCCTGGTGGGTGCCTACCTGTATGCCAAGTTTCAGCGAAATCGCCCCAGTAATTACCGAGTTATTAAATTGGGAACAAATTTGACACCTCTTATTGTTGTATTTTGCACGTGCACTGGGGGTGACCCACATGCATGGAGAGTATCCTATTTTTGGTAGAAAGGATGCAGCTACCCTATAAAAATTACCGCAAGTCAATCGCCCAAGCGGCTGCTGAGATTGAGCCTCTCAAAATCACTACTTTTGTAAATAGCTTGAACACCCTTGACTTTTCACGTGGCACGTGCCACGACGGTCACTGAGATGTATCAAAAGTAGTCAATTACGGGGTAGAAGGGATGGGGCTACCCAGCAAAAAAGACCGCAGGCCAATCGGTCCAGCGGTTGCTGAGATATATATAAGCCTCTCAAAAGCGTTACAGGCCGGGCCGGGCCGGGCCGCTCATACTGAGATTTTTCCGTTATATTGAAAAGACTCGCTTCGCTCGCTGCGCTCGCTCGCTCGTAAAAGTGATAAACGATAATTTCAGAATCTATCTTCCAATAGAATCATTTAGGGGTTTTGCTTGCCCATTGTCTGGCATTTAAACAATAGAGATTCCAGTATAGGAGCTTACCCACCAACCGATGAACAACAGCACCCGATGAAACTATCAACTTAGCGCTTATTTCCCTCAGTGTCAATTCAAATCCAGCTCGTAACGTAACGGTAACGCTACCTGTAACGTAACGGTAAATTCAGTGCACTGTGATGTTTCCTGTGTGAACATATCGCATGCCACACAATGTGCGTCGCACACACGCAAAGTGCGCCGAGACCGGCGCGACTGCCGTCGACTGCCGGCCGACCGGTGGACTGGCGGAGCGGCCGGCTGCCACTGCCGGCCGGCCGACTGCCGATCGGCCGACTGCCGATCGGTGCTGGTCGCAGGCGGCCGAGGGTCGCCCAGGCGCTGACGTGGCATAGATGCGGCCGGTGTGACCGATAGCTGGGCAGTTGTCAGTCGAGTTGTAGCGTAGCAAGGTCACCGGCCGACGGCCGCAGGCGGTTCTCTTTGGCTCGTGTCGTCTCGTACGCACAGGCTGAAAGTGGATACTTCGGGCTGCCTCAGTTGGATGCTCCATGGCTGGTGTAAGCGATTTGAGTCGCGCGAGGCTTTGAACGTGAATCTGATTCGGTAGCACGTCGGGTCGGCATTGGCGTGGGTCTTTTGCCCGCCTTTTCAACAAATGCGGCCGGTTTGGTGGCTCGCTCAGGGCCAATTTAGCAAGGAACAAGTGGAATGCGAGGCTGACTTGGGCTGACATATGTAGATGTCTTCCGAGTTCTTTTTCGGTGCCATTGTGGCGGCAATAAATTTTGAGACTTATGACCAGATGTCTGATGATGGCGGAAGGACCACTTTAGCTGTGCTAGTGCCTTTAGATGGAGGGGTATCAGATTATGCCGTTCACGGTGCAATGCATGACTTATCAGACCATTATCCCGACCGTATGTCCCGTTCCAATCCTATTCCCAGCTTGCGTCGTAGGACTGAACTAGTTTTGTGTAAAAGTGATTTGAATTTCAGCATTACTAACACACAAGAAATATTACTTTGCAAGGAATACATGGTAAGAACAAGGAATGAGAATAACAAGGAATGATGTTGAGAAAAATAATAAGAAAACATATCTGAAGTTATTTTATGTCATTTCGGTGCGACTTCTGTAACACTGAGGCAGGCACCTAGCCAGCACTGAGTCCCGGTGCCGCGGCGCCGCTGCGGCCCGGCCGGGACGCCGTTCGGCGGCGGTTCTGACGCCGCGCCGCGCCGCGTCTGTCTGTGTTGCAGACGCGGCGAGCTGGGCGCACCGGTGCGAGCAGTGCGGCGCCGCGTTCCGCCACCCGGACTCGCTGCGCTTCCACCGCGAGGTGCACCAGGGCCGCACCGCGTGTCCCGTCTGCGGCCACGTGTTCAGCCGGCGCTCCTACCTGCGCCAGCACCTGCAGCGGAAACACCCGGACCACGGCGCTCTGATGCCGCCCTAGCCCCCGTGCGGACTGGAGGTGCCCGCTGCCGGTGCCCGCTGCCGCACTAGTTCGCGTGCGAACTGCAGAGGCTCTATCGGGGGTGTGACTGGGATCCGGCAGGCTGGATCAGAATTCAGAAACCCTCAGAGCTTGGACAATGGGTTATGCTGGGCAGAGTGGTGCTAACTGTGGCTATCGGTCCAGTGAGGAGTGCAGGTTACACGGCGTTGAAGGCGTTTGTGATGCTGATGTGAAGTCGCCTTCGGGTGACAGCAGTCTACCGGCGGCGCGTGCGACTGATGTGGGGCTGCTCGGACACAGATCGTGCTCAGATGGGGCCGTCTAGGAGCGCAGCACTGACTTGGGGCGCCTCACTTTCGCCAAACGTGCTGTCTTTGTTGGGATCACAGACTCTCCGGTGATCGTCCTGTTTTCTGTCAGTCAACAAGAGTTTTTTTTAAGGTTGAAAGTGGTATTCGTTTTTATTATTAAACGGTGTTGAAAATGCGTTTTATTGTCTTTACAACTAATGTTAAACAGACATTTGGCTCATTGAAGGACATTTGAAGGACATTTGGCTCTGAAGGCAAAGATTTATCGATTGACAGGGCGGCATTGGCACTGGCCAGCAGTGACACAATATAACTGCGTGATGTTATCGTTGAACCGGCTGAATGTTGAGATTGGGCCCTAATAAAAAAGTGCAGTGATCTCCCGCGTCAAGAGGGGTGTTCACGGGCACCGCACACTGCTGCGTGCGGTGTGTGCGGTGCGTCCAGCAGGCGTGGGGGTAGGGGATGGGTAGGCGGTTCTGACGTCACGGCTGCGTGCGGTGGACGGTCCGCTGTGGCCAGTCCCGACCGGCCACAGCGATCGCTGTGTGCGGTGACGGAAGGCTGACGTAGGGACGCAGTGGGCGGAGCTTCGAGGCTGTGTGCGTTCCGACCGCACACAGGGCCCGTGAACAGCCCTAAGGTGTCTGGGGTGCATCGTCGCGGATAAAACAACGCTACAAAGAACACAAAATAAAGCACCTCGTTTCGCTTGACGTATAAACTTGGCTTCCACGTAGAGAATGCGGACGCCGGGCTGAATTGGGTAGGGGCACCGCGTTGCAAGAGGAAAAGAAGACAACACATAGCTTGTGGTGTGCGCCAATTTTGAAGGCTTCTTAGGATGTGAGACGCATGTGCTAACTTTTTCACGATTTCGACGAGCTAGTTTGGGACCATGCTGATACGCTGTCGTACGGAACAATTCTGAAGCGCTGCTGATGTACCTACGCGGCAATTCTAACGCGCTACTCATGCACGGCAATTCTGACTCGCTGCTGATGCGCGGCAATTCTGACGCTCTGCTGTTGTGCGCGGCAGGTCACGCCATGACCGCCCTGCGCTGCCCATTCTGCCACAAGAGTTTCAAGAGCCGCGACTCTCTCAGGAACCACCGGGCGCTGCACGAGGGTCGCACAGCGTGCAACATCTGTGGGAAGGTGTTCAGCACCCTCTCTAATCTATCGGAACATCGGAACATGCACAAGGGTCGGACTGGTTGTACCCTCTGTGGAAAAGTGTTCAGCACGACTGCCAATCTGGCGGAACATCGCCGCTCATTCCACGGAAGCTGGAGGCCCGGCCAGGGGCCGCCGCCTCAGTAGTCGCATCGTAGAAGCTTCTCAGGCGACGTGAACCAAATGCTGTCGGAAAGCTGAGGACGTCTTTGTTGGTAAAACCTTAATGGTGCAGAATGGCCACGTCAGAACTATGAGAAATCAGATCGGGTTCTGACATTGCTAGACAGGAAAGGGTTCCATTGTGGGATGATGGATAAGTGTAGTTCAGTCTGCCTAAGGAAGGCATGTTTCTCTCTGTACAAATGAGCGTTTTCAGCTCTTACCTTAACGCTTATTGATGCGCGCCTAGTTCATTCGTTTTTTTTTATTTTGATATCCACTCAAGTTATGGTGCTTAGTTTTGGAATGCTGAATACAGCGTGTAACGACGCAAACGCGGTTTTCTAAATACTAGTGGAACGTAATGGCTTCGCAGTCCGCTGAGTAGGGTGGCCACGAGCCCTGCGACCATTGATGTCGGGGGCGCTGTTGAGCAACGCTGGCTGTGTCGTCTGGCCTTGTGTGCGGATGCGACATGCTGCTGGTGGGTGTATGGTCGTCCTTTGGCGACGTTTGTCACTCAGAGTCTCATCCCTTGGCTCTCCCTGGCACCC